ATGGCTGACATGCCGTTGGAATTGGATTTTGTTTTGGCATCCGAGTCGCGGACTGATTTATGAGAAAAGAGGCTCACGGTAGAACATGTTCAGTGGCAGCAGAGAATCCCCGAGTGAAACCTGTTGACAACTTCACAGGTGTGGGCTTGGGGAACTTGAAAAAGCCTGGAAAAACACGGTTATATAAGTTTATAATAGCAATAGCCCGGCTTCCTCCACCCCTGCAACAGCCTACCTGGCGCTCGGTTGGGTTTCTATCATCCATGGCGCAGCCATTGAGATCCCATACTCTGAGTGAAGACCATGACACAAGAGCCACGAAGTCGATCTTGTCAAGTTGTAATATTTGTAATCACAATTAATCACATAAACTTCATTAAACCCCTGGTTGATGATTGGGGTGATACGGGGTGATACCAATTGGTTTCATGGGGATTGCCATAAATCCTTACTGAGAATCTCCATCAAGCAACAGGTTGAAGGGGCAAACACAAGGTTTTGCTCACATTGGAACTTGCGTGCTCCAAAGAGAAGTTTGCACCTTTCATGCACAGGTTTGTTTCGTGGAAATACATAGTTATGACTGGCTTCATACTTGTTGATGGACAAATACATAAAGATTCTCTAGAAATCCTTGTTTTTACCATGTTTTACCATGTTTTAATTTTGAATCATTAGCTATTTCCAACGCCATTCAGTTCCATTAAGTTCCATTGAGTTCAGCATCTTTCAGCCATTGTTTCGGCCAATTTGGCACGGCAAGAAACCAATGGGTGGAGGTCCCAGCCGTGTCGGAGCCAACGCGCTGGACGTTGTGCCGCCGAGCTGCTGTTTCGTTCCGGCAACGGATGGGCGCTTGCACTTCCGCGGGCGCATTGTGAAGAACAAGGAAGGCTCGGAAAATGCACAATGAGACCATCATGAGACCATAATGAAACCATAATGAGACCATAATGAGCATGACATGATCGAGAAATGATCGACATGCCAACGCTCGAAATGGTACAAACTGAAGAAGTTGTGCCATACATTTCTGTCAATTGCTAAATACAATTGCTAAATACGTGTATTACTCTCACATCACGGATAAGCCAGGGACAAGACGTTGTTGCCTGCTTTGTTTTGTTTTTTGTCCGATGCTGTCTATTTTCATGTTCTTTTAATATTCTACCGTACCTGTTTCTTGTCTGGTTCAGGCGTTTGTTTCGATTGGCCTTGCACAAGCTTCAAGTTCAAGACCTCAGCCTCACGAGCTTGGCTTCGAATGGATGGTGGCAGAAACTATTTCAACGTCTTGATCAATGGAAGCCACTTGGAAGACATCTTGGAAGACATCTTGTCACATCTTGTCACATCTTGTCGTCCAAACACAAGTGATGCACGGTGATGCCGTGATGGCTCCAAAACGCTGCATGCTGTGGCGAGTTCAGACCGGCCAACAAAACGAGGCCTGGTTTGCGTGCTGAAGACCTTCTCGGCAGTCAGGGATTATCTGGTGCCAACGGATGGCGAAAGCATCGTTGAGGCCCGGACATGGCTAGTGTAGCTACACAACTTGAGTAGCTGAGTAGCAGTATGGGCTCAATTTGGGTAGATTTGATGATTTTGATATTCGATTCGCGATATTTGCCTTATTTTCCGAATTACGTAAATACCTATGGTAGTGCTATGATAGCATGATATAGTCGTTAACTACAGGGTCTTAGGCTTTATTAGCGGTAGCAGTATGGGAATATGGGCAGATTTCCATCGTTGACACCTCTTGCGCATTATGTTTTATGTCATTATGTTGGCTTGACACTTGACATCCTGCATCATCCTGCGCTTAAGGTACAGAAACGAACAGAGGCAAAGATTGGGAGTATAACTCAAAAGGAAACGAGCTCCGTGACGTTGCACGGGCTGGTCCTGGAAGATGGTTCCTTGGAAGATCTCCCACAGGAGCCATTGAGCCGAGTGCGACTGTCACGTCATGTCGAGTACCATGTCGAGTACCATGAGACTCCATAAGTACCATGACCTGACCATGACCTGATAGATCCGGAGAGTACCAGGACACTCCGAAGCGCTTGGAGTTTCTGGGCGACTCGGAAACCTCAGGCTTTGGAAATCTGGGCCCCAGTCAACCAGGAGTACCAAACCTCCGTTCTGTGCTCACAGTGTCTTGGCCAAAGCAGGAGCTGATTTCCTCTTTCCACACATGTTGAAATTATGTTGAATTTATCTTAAACATTCCTTAATAGAACATCCTTAAACATGTTCAAACAATGTGCAGGTTCCCAGGTTTTGTTTGAGGGTTTTGGTTTCAATCGTTTCAACGACTGAGGTGAATGTGGCACACCAAGATGCAAATCAGGCTTGGCCAGCACTGGTGGCCAAAGCCTTCGGTGCAGATTTTCACAACATCTCATGGAGTGGAGCCGGGGTCGTTTGGAATGCTGGCGCGGGCTGTTCGGCTGACGCACCATTCCATGATTTGTACTCCCGAGCTCTGGGTAGTTCTCAGAAACTCTGCTGGAACTCGCCATGTTTTGTCTTGATATCTCTTGATTGCTCTTGGCAACGTGCAACAACTATCTCTCTGGCAGTTGCAGCAAGAGTTAGTGAATGTTGTGCAAAATGTGCAAATCTTTAGAGATCTCAGAGATCTTCCGAGGACAACGAGTATTGACGGTGAGTGGCAACCTGATGCAGTGGTCCTTTATTTGGGTGGAAATGACTGGTGGTCTCTCTCACACAAAGGCCAGACATATTGGACATCCAAACTGGCATAAGTTGTCACATTTCGATGAGAAACGAATTGATACGGGTTTTGATCCAGTTTGAAGAAACTGATGATACGGATTGAGTTTTTATATTCCAATGATCAGAGATATCTTCTTTGAACTTCCAGGGTGGGCTGTTCGATGCAGGTGAAGAGCCTCTCATTGCAGGCTTCCGACGATTCCTACGGCACTTGCGAGAACACAGAGGCATGTCAAAGGAATTGGACATAGAAAACTGATGAAAACTGAAGACTCGGGAATAGCGGAGTTGGAATAGTTGGACAGCCTGGACACCAACAAAACCACACCACTGGAGCATACCATTGGTATACCATGGTATACCTGCATCATATCCACCTGTATCCACCTGTATCCACCTGCACCTTGCAACAGGTCCAGATGTTGCAATTTGTATTTTGCTTGCGTCGCCTGAGTCGGTGTGCGTCCCTTGGTGCTTTAGTTTGCTTTCTTTGAAGAACAGAGCTGAGAACATACAGTATCATACAGTATTTCAAATGTATTTCACCATATTTCACCTTTCCGAGATAACGAACAGGGGGGTTCTTGCACTTTAGACTCAGTTTGACTCAACTTCGAAGTTGCCTTGGAAAGTACTGCACCCCTGGCCGTGGAAAATCATCTTTATCCTGGATCATATTGCACAATTTCTTTGGATTTTAGGACTTTTAAGTTCTCAGAAAGCGTTTTTTTCTTGTCTTCCCGTTCAGGCTTGCATCGGAAGCTTGGAAGATCAAAGGGCCTTTGCTGCGGACATGTCTCGATGCTGGCGTGCAGCCGCCGAACAATTGGAAGATCCAAAGGTGCGCAGGAAACGCCGAACAATTGGAAGTCGCAGAAGTCGACACAGTCAGCATCGGTCAGAATTGTTCGGCATTGGTCAGCATGGAACTCATTGGAACTCATTGGAACTCATTGGAACTCCTCGCCATTCCTGGCCCTTTTGAGATCCAGGGCCCATGTCATAGGCTATGTCGGATGCCGCGTTTCAGCTGGACAATTTGGAGGAAAAAAAAGAGTTAAAATTTTTAAAATGAGTTAAAACATCCAACACTGGAAAGGAACAACCAAGGCATTTTGGAACAGCCAATGAAGTTAAACTAAGTAAACTAAGTAAACTTTCAAGGATTTTCAAGGATTTTCAAGGATTTTCAAGGCATTTTGTGTTGAAATTTTGGTGAAAGTTGGACCCTCCCTGGTCTCCGAAAGATGCCCAGGTCTACTGGGACGTTGTGGATCCAAAGCCTCCATGTTCGTTGTCGGATCCCGCCGACTGGGGACAGATGGGTCACTGGTCAGTGCAGGTGCGCCAGCGCATATTTTGAGATCATAATATGGTCTAATATGTATATGGTCTATATATATATATATACGAGTGCCCCATATATATATATATATAAATAATATATACTATATGATCTGTAATTTCTATATATATTTCTATAACATATATATATATATATGATTGAACATGATTTGACAGATTTACATCGATTTATGGCTTTCGATTCATGATATTGTAGACATCGAATGACATTGATATTCACATTCCGGTATTCGAACCACAGAGTAGTTTTGCACTTTTTTATCGTGTGAAGATATGCTGTGTTTTTAACGTTCAAAATCTCTCCACTCGGCCTCGACCCGCGCCGGCCGCGACCCAGGGAAATTCCAAATGGGCGAATGCCGTGATTCCCATTTTGGAGTCTCGATTGGATTGGTCCAGAATCTGAGCCCTGCAGCGCTCGCAAAAAAAAGGGCAAAACGAGAAAAGCACTGCAATGCAATGCATGGCATCTGTGTGCTAAAGCTTTGGCAAGTTGACATTCCGATTGGAACAGCTTGATGATCTTGATATATCTTAAGATGCTTTCTGTGTTTTTGCAAAACGAAAGGGAGGACGCAACATGAAACTTCAGGAGCCAACGCTCACATGTGGAAAGCATCCATTTCATGTGGAGATTCTTCAGTTTTGGGCTCCATGATCAAGCGGCGCTCCAGCCACTTTGAAGGAGATGTCACAATACACTCTGAGAGTAGCTTGGGGCCCAACATGGCCCAACAATTTGCAAGATTCCACCTTGGATTTGTGTTGAAGTTCTTCTGATTGCTTTGCAATTTGCTTTGCATCATATGTGTTCTCAGCAAACGAAGGATTCTCGGATTCTTTTGGGAAGAAAACGCTGGGTCTTTGAGAGGGACAAGAGAAGCACGGATGTAAGACATGTAACGACGTGTAATAATTACTGTAATATGTGAGGAGCAGTCGAGCAGTCAATTAATTCTGGTTGCCAGCTTCGTTTTGTTCGATGGAAGAAACGCATGCTGACAACGAGATGTTGAGGCAGAGGCAGGGAGACGTGTCCCACGTGTCCCAAGGGATGCAACTTGCCTGGTCCTGCATTGCAGATATTGCAGCATCTGGAAGTGGCATTTCGTGGCTGCAACGACACTCTTGCCACTATATCTGTGTCAAGGATCTAAAGATTCAGTGGGCACAATGGGCACAATCAAAGTGTATTGCAAGGATCTAAAGCAAGTGCATGTTGTCTCATGTTGTCTCTAGGCTTTGACTACCTGGTCTATCTTTGATTGCAAATGCGAGGCAAGATCCCGAACAACCCAAGGCCATTCAAACCTTAATGCGGCCCTGCATGACCCAAAATGTATCAAAATGTGTTACTTCATGGCTTCGCGCGGCCTTTTTTGATCGAGCCTTTCACTGACTCCAATTGTCCCCGACAAATTGTAGCAATATCGAGCACCGAGCCCAAGCTCGGACTCTTGACAGCCTCGACATGGCATTCTCATCGTTTTCAACGCTGGTCCCTTTGCTTCGCTTTCTTCTCATTGTGGAGTTGATCTGCGAGCACGGCCACGCTTTCAAGGCCCAATCCGATTTCATCCGATTTCACTCTGCGTTTCAAGTTGTTTCTTCAAGAGCGACGTTTTTAAGTCTTTAAGGTTCTTAAAGGGCTTCAAAATGCGAAGTGACCACTAGCTGTCTAGCTTGGCTTGGTTCCCAAGATCGGGCTTTTCTGGGTGAAATGGCGATCCATGACTAATGCATCTTTTTCGATCGGTGCGATTCTCGGTTGATCCGCTTCCACCAGCAAGGCGCACACTGAGCGCTCGGGTTCTGTGGAAATGAAGCAATTCGAAGCGACGACGTCGAAGCAAGTTGTGGATCATCTCCCTGTGGGCTGGACGGTGGCTCTTTACAATTCATATCACAAGATGCTTGGACCTTGGACCATCTTGGATGATCCAAATCTTTCATCATCTTTCAACAAGTCTCTGGATGTCGGATGTCGGATGTGCCAAGTGTGGAGTCAGCAACTTCCTGTAAGGGCAATATTGGCAATAAGGATCAATAAGGATCAATAAGTCACATTGGATTTGTCTTATCATGGCTTATCAATTATCAATCCGAATACGCCACCAGCCTGTTTTGGTCGATTGTGCTTTATAAAGTAGCGTTGAGGCGTTGAGGTTTGTTTGGGTATTTGAATTTCCATCATCATTCCAGGAGCTTTGGTTAAGCTTAAGTTAAGCACTTGTTCTAAATTTCTAAATGGTTCTAACTTCCTGCGGAATATTCCATGACTTGTGGGTTGCATGGGTAGTTCAAATCTGTATTGAGGAGGTTCCTCAAAATCACGAACGATGCCGTGGGCTCCAGTGGCTACCTGAGCAACCCAGCAGACTTGAGTGATGGTTGGACCCACGAAAGGCAATGGCACAAGCTGGGCATGCAACATACATCTGCAACGATGTGAAATGATGTGAATCAATGTGCAACGTTCAAATACGTTCAATATACATCTGCAAAATAGGTCAAAATACCTCAACGTCTCGGATTTGATCAGATTTTAGAGGATTCTTAGAGAATTCCTGAAAGATTCTTGTAGAAAGACTTAAAGGATAGGAGAGCGGTCCAATAAATGATCAAGCATCTTAATGGATAATGCATTTTACATGTTCACGCTTTGGGTTGCTGGGCAGGTTCCTCGTGGTCGAGGGTGGCATGAATGACATCGCGCTGTGGAACACGCACTTCCAACGATACCTCAAGATCACCGGCTCAGGCTCGGATGGTGCCTGAACAGGTATCTGGAACAGGTATCTGGAACAGATTTGAAAAGGTATCTTAAAAGGTGGTGAAATGTGGGTACCATGGAGAGCGCAGCGCAGCACTGTCAGCGGGCAGACATGCGCGGACGGTTGACGGAACAACATGGAACAACAGTGCAACCGAAGCGCATGAAACGCAGCACAGACATGCCGATGCAGCGTTGGATTGGTGCGTTGGGGTGTGATGGGGTGTGGTCTTGCAAACGTTCGCAAGTTTTCTTGGCGTTTGGTGGCGTATAGTAAGAGGATGCGGGAGGACGTGGGAGGCTTCAGATTGTTTCACTTGAAATCAGGGATGATCTGTGAGTGAGCTCGAATCAGAATTCTCATGGGCGTCAACGCCTTGATATTCCGCTTTCGAAGCGAAGTGATGGGGCACCCCTTTGCCAGCGAAGTGGGTATATAGCTATACGGCGTACTGATCGTACTGGGTTCGTACCAAGAAATGTTCACAGACGAACCAGAAACATCAGAAATCTGCAGTCCATCATTCCATTCCCAGATGCTCAGTTCGCCTCAGTTGGCAGGACAAGTTGGTGCTTCTGGCATATCCGACAAGTTCTTGCCTGGTAGCTATGTCGATGAGCGCCTATTGGCCGAGAAGGTCAGAGCCAGGGTTGCAATCAGTTTTTGTGTTAAAGCGATGGGTGAACAGTGTATACATGTAAAATGTGCATCTTGTATGTGTGGGTTGAATGTAATTTTGTCTTGGCCCCAAACAATTGGATTCACCAGTAGTACACCTGCAACTGCTGAAACATAAAGATCATAAAGAGCATCCTGAGGCTGGCCTCCACAACAGTTCGGACCAAGACTTTTGGGAATTTCCAGGTCTTTTTACATGTTTTTGCGTGTGAAATTCGATGGCAGTCCAGGGATTTGGTGCTGCAATGCCACATGCCACATGCAGCACCATGTGCAGCTCACAGCCCCTTGGAGGTCGGCGACCGGATCGCGATAAAGAGTGCCAATTATATGAACAAGCATCCTGGCATAATCCTGGCACCATAAACGCCAAAGTCAGAGGCTTTGGATATGCCGTGATCTGTCCGGACTGTCGCTTGATGAGGGGTCCTTCAAGTGATTCTCCATGATATTCAGAGATTCCCACGTTTCTTGACGAGTTCTTGGGAAAATGTTGGGAATCCATTTCCTCGTGCTTCGCTGTGCGGGGAGCTTTCGGACCTCATGACGCGTCATGCTGTAAGGTATATTAAAATGAATTCCAACTTCGACATTGTCACACAGACCCAAGTGGGCGAGTGGGAGAAGTTCCAGGTTGTCCTTGTGGAGCATCCACTGAAGCAATTCATTGGACAGACGATTGGCCTCTACAACATAGATTGGTTCCGTTTCTTGCGAATGCGGGGAAGTGGCGCAGGGGAAGTAGATGGCAGTCCAGAGTCGCGCACCAGGGAAGTGATGCCAAAGGATTGGTATGATTGCAAGTTCACGGTGGTCGATGCAGGCAACAACAAGGCCCAGCCGCCCATGGTTCCCCATGGATCCCCATCCATGGCCATGCCGATGCTCATGGGGATGGGCAGCACCAGATCCTGTCATCACGAAAGCTCGCTTGTGCTGATGATTGTTTGGATGGTTATGATATGTTATGATTTCTTGTTCGCATTGGTGGAAATGAATGAGGTTGATGATTTTCTGAAGATGTTTGAAGTTGTTATGATTTCTTGTGAATGTTGGTGAAAATGAATGAGATGAAAACTTCAATGATGAAAACATGAAAATGAATAAGATGACTAAAATGAACATCATTTTAATCTTAGAATTCTTGTGATACCTATTTTTCCCATTTGTTTCCCTCTGGTCCAGGTTCAATCCCCGCCTGGTCGCCCTGGACCCCCATGGACCCCCTGGACCATGGGTTGCAAGATGTTGCTGGACCATGGGTCGTCATGTTCAATTGGTTCCCACCATCACCCTCATCAGTTTACTCTTGCAGCTGAGCAGTCTCCGTTACACTTGTAGCGTCCTGCTATGTTTCGTACCTTCCTCCATTGCCTCAAATTTGTTCCGATCTGTTTACGTCTTACAGGGCTATCTACAGGATCATCGGATCCACTTCCCAGCTGCATTTTCAGAGTAATCAGAGTATAATCATTTTTTATTCTTTGAAAGATTGCAGTGGTATGCAGTGGTATGCAGTGGCTGTATGTGGTGCCAGGTGGCCTTCCACAACCACAAGCACAGTCGTTTCTTGAAGCTGGAAAGCATCACTCGGTCCAATTTTGCCGAATGCCCTCCAGACCCCAACATCTTTCCACAGCCCACAGAGCACACGATTACCGAAATCGATGTGCTGGTGACCGACACAGTGGATTCCAATGCAGTGCCGGCCTCTGCCTTGCCATCTTCATGGACCAGCGCCATGTTTGAGGTCAAATCACCTGGCTGGGGAGCCGAGGTGCGAAAGTGTGCGAAAGTGTGCGAAAGTGCCAACAGACACGAAAGTTACATCGCTTTACTGACCTGCTCATTTTCCGGGTTGTGACTGTGATTCGTGACATATAGTGAGACATATTAGTGAGCAATTAGTTCGCCCTTGTGAGCCTAATAGATTGAACGTAGCAACATAGATAGATTGTTTCTGGGTGCGGGATGGTTAGAGTTTTGAAGAGGGAAAGCAACCACCACATAACAATACTGTCAGCCTGCCACAAAGCAAACAGTGCAGCCAACAACTGCAGAGAAAGCAAGACGTGGTCAAGTGCGGCCGACAACTACACAGAAAGCAAGCAGCGACGTGGCCAAAACGGTTTCGTTCCTCCTCAAATTATGGAAACAGTAGTCTTCAGGCGGTCTTCACAACAGAACCGTGCCCTCCTTGATTCAACAAAGTCTTGCAAGCACTATATTTCCAAACTGTTCCTCTCAGGCCTGGTCCCTCACAATGTTGCAAGCAGTGCAACATGATTTTTCCTCACAGGCAACCACTGTTCCCCCCATGTTCCCCGCATTCCTGACAGCAAATGTTTTGCAAACAGCAGGTTTCAACATTGTTCTGCTTAGATTTGGCCCCACGCAATTTTGCAAGTTTTCCCCATTCTTAGAAATTCTTAGTCCCATTTCGTTGACAGCACATTTATGCAAATTCCACTTCGTCTTCCGCATGCTTGGTTCGAAGCATTAAAGTTTCAAAAGTATGTCCCTCCAACTTGGCCCGACAAATCATGTGGGTAGTCAAGTCCTCGAGTTTGCTCCCCGATTTGCAAACACCAGTCGAGTGCATTTTTGGCCCGAAAGCCCGGATCTGCGGACTATTGCATCACTTTTTCTGGTCCCCTGATTTTGTCTGAAAATAGGTCTTCCCCTATCTTCCCCTTGTCTTTTCTGATTGGCATATTACATGCAAAGCAAGAACCTCTGTGACTAGAACAAGGACACCGCGGGTCCTCAAACCCAAGGAAACCACACAGTAAGAGCCGCTCAGCAACATTTGAGCTCCTCATTGTGTTTTGCCAAAACCTTGAACAAGCTTCAGTATGGCTAGAGGGAGCACCCGGAGCGCCCGCAAACCAACGAAATCCAACGAACATGAGAAAGAACCGTCGATGGTGCAACAATATCGCCTCATTCTCTTTGGCCCATTCGTTCCCATGACCATCCCATGACCGTCCAATGACCATGTTTTTTGGTTGCATTTCAAGACCTCACACCCGGTAACTGGCTCGAAAGGGAAGAACTGGCTCGAAAGAGAAGTAATTAATCGAAGGAAATTTAGAAGTCAAACTTCCGACAATATGGACAGATGAAAAGCAGAGTAGGGCAGAGGCAGAGAGAAGAGAAAGATTAGAAGAGAGAAGATCAGAGAAGAGAAAGAGTCAGAAGAAAGAAGATGCAGATGCGCGAAAAGGTAGTAGGAAAGTCGCGAAACACTGTGTTTTTCCAATGATTTGTGGCTCCGGCGGGTCGAAAAGTAGGCTCGCTAAAGCGGCGTGTGCGGAGCCAGCTGGCCAGATGAGAGATGAAAAATTGCACGCCGTTGCGGCGCGAAGCACATTTCGAAGTTAAAATGTACAAAACACACCATTCTCGGACCACTTTGGAAGTTGAGATGTCGAAAAAGTGCACGCCGTTGTGGCGCGAAGCACATTTCGAAGTCAAAATGCACAAAGCACACCATTGTCGGACCACTTTTGGAAGTTGAGATGTCAAAAAAGCGCACGCCGTTGTGGCGCTAAGCACATTGCGAAGTCAAAATGTACAAAACACACCACGTTCGGACCACTTTTGGAAGTTCAGATGTGGAAAAAGTGCACGCCGTTGTGGCGCAAAGCACATTTCGAAGTGAAAATGTACAAAACACCACATGTTCGCGCCACTTTTTGGAGGTTCAGATGTCGAAAAAGTGCACGCCGTTGTGGTGCGAAGCACATTTCGAAGTCAACATGTTAAAAACACCCGGGTTTCGGACCACTTTTGGAGGTTCAGATGTCGCTTCGCTTCACTACACTACACTACACTCCACTACATTGCACTACACTACACTCCACTACACTACAACTACAACTACACAACTACACTCCACTACAATACACTCCGCTACATTAAATTACATTACATTACACTGCATTACACTACACTACACTCCACTACACTACACTACATTACACTACACTACACTACCTTCCACTACACTTCACTACATTGCACTACACTACACTCCACTACACTACAACTACAACTACACAACTACACTCCACTACAATACACTCCGCTACATTAAATTACATTACATTACACTACATTACACTACACTACACTCCACTACAATACACTACATTACACTACACTACACTACCTTCCGCTACACTTCACTACATTGCACTACACTACACTCCACTACACTACAACTACAACTACGAATGCACAACTACACTCCACTACACTCCACTACACTAAATTACAATACACTCCACTACATTAAATTACATTACATTACACTACATTCCACTACACTCCACTACACTACACTACATTGCACTACACTACATTACACTGAATGACGCTGCACCACAGATAGACAGGTCGACAGATAGACTGATAGATAGATAGATAGATAGATAGATAGATAGATAGATGGATGGATAGACAGGTAGACAGCTAGACAGATAGACAGATAGACAGATAGACAGATAGACAGATAGACAGATAGACAGATAGATAGATAGATAGATAGGTAGATACATAGATAGATAGATAAATAGATATATGGATAGATAGATGGATAGACAGATAGATAGATAGATCGATGGATGGATAGATAGATAGATAGATAGGTAGATAGATAGACAGACAGATAGATAGATGGATAGACAGATGGATAGATAGATCGATGGATGGATAGATCGATGGATAGATAGGATCAGATCAGATAAGATAAGATTAGATTAGATAGATAGAAAGATAGATAGATAGATAGATAGGTAATTAGATGAGAGAGAGAGATAGATAGATAGATACATAGAAGATAGGTTGGTAGGTGGGTAGATCGTCAGAGAAAGAGAGAGAAAGAGGAGACATCAATCACCTTTCGATCCATCAGTGGCTTCGCTCTGCCATCCCTGATTCACAACAACCAACCTCTCCTATAGGTTTCCTATTTTTGAAACTTCCGCCACCGCCTTGCGCGGTACTACTGGTATTTAATGTTTACGCTCACATGCACAAGAGCTGTATTTCGACATTTCGCATATCAATGCCTGAGCTGCATGAAACTGATGGCTTTAAAATCGGCACATCGCATTGGCTGCAGCCCTGCTTCACTCGACGTCACTCGATGTGACCTTGGAGGCTTCCAATGATGACTATGGCCCCCATGTGGCCCTATATGCCAGCGGTGTCGGGCGCTACGTCCGGATGCATGAGACTGGACTGCAAATTGTGACTGCAAAACTCTTTCTTTCAGGTGAATACCTTGTAAACTGTGACTGAGAAGTGATTGCAAATTCTCAGAAGTGACAGCATGTAATTAACAGCCATTCTTTTACATACAATATTCATTATGTCATCATGTCATGTTTTCCACTACTTGAGTGAAACGTCACAGATGGCACAGCTGAAGATTGAGCTTGCGCATGAACATCACGAACTTAGAGCTTGCGCAGATCATTTTGAGATATTTTGAGCAGATCAAAGATTTCTGATGTCAGTGGCCCTGAGGGAACCTTTTGCTGTGAACATGATGATGCCGGTATTTGCATGGGTCCTGCTTCAACAGTAGGTTCCGCAGGGGTTGAAAGGAAGGGGGAACGGGGGAACTTGGAAGCTTTGTGACAGTTGATTTGTTTGCGTGCAACTTCATTTATTTCACTTGCACGATTTTGCGTTCAATGCGCTTCAGTTTTTGCCAGCATTGTGCATGGCAACAAAGACAGAGAGAGAGAGAGAGAGAGAGAGAGAAGAAAAGAAGAGACGAGAAGAGAAGAGAAGAGAAAGGAAGGGAAGGGAAGAGGAGAGAAGAGAGACGAAGAGAGACATCATTGTACACAAACAGCAACGTTCTTCACATTGTCCTTCGTTTTGCGTGTTGCCATTGCATTGCCATTGCGTTGCCATTGCGTTGCCATTGCTCCTGGAAAGTTCAAGCACCAAGCAGGAAAAACTTCATGATACAGCGGAACCGTTGGATAAGAACCCATTAAGATTTTTCCGCCTACCCTGGGGTTCTTAAGTGCTATAGGCAGAAAAATGTCGGAACTGTGGACGAGGGTACCCTCAAGTTCTTAAGGGGCTAGTTCTTAACGAGTACATATGGTGAAGGTAATTTCATTCGGATTTCTTAGTAATTTCATGTAATTTCTCAATTTAGCATTCGGATCATTCGGTATAAATAACGGCAGAGACAGCCTTGCAAGCAAAGAGCCAAAGATGAGGAGAAGCCAAGGCAGGGATGGTTGTGCGTCGGTTTGCTGTGGGTTGTTGCTGAAAGCAAGAAACACTTTTAGCACCGTACAAAGCTTTTCCATAGACAGGTTAATAACGGTTAATGGACTGGTGGAGGTTTGTTAAAACACAGTGTCAGGGCTCGAAAATTCATTTTGGGCTGGTGATAGGTTCTGAAAAGAGTTGGTTGGAGAAAAACACCTTTTAGGGATCAAACAGGTTTTTCGGGCGCACACATTCCAAACAGAGCCGGGGGCCAGATATTCCTATAGAATCAAGTCTCGAAAGAGACAGGGGGAAAAACTTTTTATCTTGGATTGTAAATTGATGTTGGCAGGCATCTTTTTTTGACAAAAGGCTGGCTTACCAGAGTGGTGCTTGGTGGCCCGCGCTTAAGTGAAGAACTTTTGGGACCCAGGAAGATCCTTAGGAAGGAGCTGGCTTGGGTATGCAGCCCTCAAAGATTGTTTGAAGTGTTTTGCGGGCACCACCAAGCACGTAGGTTTGGAAGAAACTTTGGGGACCAGAAAGTTTCCCGACTCAATGGGCATTTGTCCAGGCCGCTTGAGCATTGAAAGCAAGCTAATCATGCGAGATCCGACGAAACAAATTCACATATCATCACGTACCTATGTTTTTGAAAGTTGTTTGGAGCCGCGCCCTGGCCAGGTGGAAGAGAAGCTCCGGAATCAGAAGCACCAACAGAATATGCCCCTCTATAAATCCAAACAAAGTATCATATATATATATATACATATATATGTATTATATTATATAGTGTGTGGAATATGGATCATGCAGTTTGGTACCATAGATCTTCACCTGTTAAAGGGTAAGAACCAGTCCAGAATTCGATGGCACCCTAGGGTTCTTATTTCAAGTAGCTGACAGGGGTGCAGTAGGTTCTAAAACAGTGGTTTCGCTGTACCCCGGCAGGATTTGCATCATTTTCTCAGGAGAGGTCTTGTTTGCTGCGTGGGGTCATGTTCTTTTGTTTCCCGGTCGGTTTCTAAAATCATGTTTGTGTACTGGTCCTCTAGCGGTTTTCAGTGTGGGCTGGCTGATACCTCCTCATCACAGCTGTTTTCGTTACGTGGGTGTCTGTGCGTGTGTTTGCCACGTTGGGCGACAGCAAAAGTTCTCTGTTTGCAACCTGTACTATGTATCACTTTTCCAAGCGTCCAAATAAGACACACCGATATACCGTGATATACCGTGATATACCCATAAAGCCGAGGGCTGGTAAAGCCTTTTTGTTTGGGTTTGCGTAACACAAGTGTTCGGCATTCCGGGCAGAGTTCCCAGTCACGAGATTCAAACAGGCTTGCATGACAAGGGATCCTACTTCAAAGTGGTGGGTACGTTCCATCAGCTGGTGGAACCCTACGTTGGCCGCTCGTTGGCTCTCCACAACGCTGCCCACAATGTCGGGCGCCCAAGGTTCAAGAGTTTTTGCGAATGTGTTTGTTGGATGCGAATGCGATGGGTCACAGCCTGTGACAACCTCGCGTTTAGTTTTGACCCAAGGACTGCCCAAACAGGGCAAAGAACCATCAAAGAAGCACTTAGTGGGAATCTACTCAGTGAAATTTTTGGGCACCGGGGTGCATGTGGGGATTGGCTAAGAAGCAGCACATTGTTGAACATCTCTCAAAAGCCAAATCACTCTTGTTCAGAACCCTTTCAGGTTTGTACTTGTGAGGCATGTGCAAAAACTGGTTGTAAAGAGCTGATAGGGAATATCCATGGACGGCAACCCTCACCCTTTTATGAATTATGTTGTCCCATGCATTCTTTTGATTGGGCTCCGAAGAAGTCTCATATGCCTTCAGGTCTTCTTGAAGATGGAGAATGACGTCATCACAACCAGCCCCACGAAAGCTGCAAACGATTTTCCTGAAGGCTGGCATTCAGAGAAGTTCACCGTGGTGGATGGCCGCAGAGGACTTGTAGGTGGGGATGGGCCAAGCCAATAACAATAATAACAGTGCTCTGATTTCCCAGGTATTCCCCCACCCAAAGAAGCCGATCTGGCCTAACTACATATGTATTGTTCCAAATGAATAAACTTGTTTAAACCATGAAAAAATGCCAGTGCTATGACCATTGCCGCTGCCGCTGCCAAGGTCTCCACAGTCCATACTACAACCGCTTTGTCCAAATTGAGGATACCGAGATTCGCGGCAGTGGTAGCCTCAACAGCTATCAATTGAGCGACTTGGATGACTTGGATGACTTGGATGTCGATGTGTCACAAGGAGAGCTGGTGGGATGAACGTTTCAGTTTCACGAGCCGATTGGAAAGGGTCCCAAAAATTGGATGCAGAAAAGCCACCAAGATCCAAACTATTGGTCAAGGGAAAGCATGAACGAGAAAACCCACCAACTCCCAAGTGCAGCCGAAGAGATCCTGATTCCCGCAGTTCTTCCGCAACACTCCAAGAACCGAGGTGAATTATCGGACAAACTTGTGTTGACGCCAGCGGGAGGCAGCACGTTTGCCATTTTCAATCCAACCCACGGAAAGTACCTGCAGATAGACGCTGTTGGAACTGGTTGCCTGGTTTCGTCCGCAACGTTTCCTGTTGTTTTTCCAACCTTTAAGAATGTTGGCATGGTTTTGGAGCCAATATCCCCAAAGTTATTCATGTTTGTGGCGAACTCAGCCTGCCAAGGTTGTGTTTCATATGGACATCGAGTGGTGATTGCCCAATCTTCGGACGCCGGCAAGAACCAATGTGGCTGGTACGGCTGCAGGGTCGGTGACATGATCAACAACAAGATGTATTTTGGCCACGGTGGTGTCTCGGCACAGCTGCAGCCCCCTGCAACATCCTTAAACCCCGGATCTATTCCGCCTGTATTCAAAGGAAGTTTAGTTAGAAAAAATCCGAGTTACGGACGAATGTCCCAGCTTTCCCACCATCATGGCGTTCACGGTATCGCTTACAACCGCCGAAGTTGCATCGCTTACAACCACGGGATTTGTATCGCTTACACTGCCATCATGGCTCTGGGTCAGGATCACGTGTAGTGATCATGTTCCAAGTCCTTATTGCCTGTGTGCTTCCTGTGTGAAGCAAAGAAACCCTAAAGGTGTCGCACCTGTGTATTTCCTGTGTGTAGCAAAGAAAACCTAAAGGTGTCGCACCTGTGTGCTTCCTGTGTGTAGCAAAGAAACCCTAAAGGTGTTGCACCTGTGTGCTTCCTGTATAAGCAAAGAAACCCTAAAGGTGTCGCACCTGTGTGCTTCCTGTGTGTAGCAAAGAAACCCTAAAGGTGTTGCACCTGTGTGCTTCCTGTATAAGCAAAGAAACCCTAAAGGTGTCACACCTGTGTGCTTCCTGTGTGAAGCAAAGAAACCCTAAAGGTGTCGCACCTGTGTGCTTCCTGTGTGAAGCAAAGAAACCCTAAAGGTGTCGCACCTGTGTGCTTCCTGTGTGAAGCAAAGAGACCCTAAAGGTGTCGCACCTGTGTGCTTCCTGTGTGAAGCAAAGAGACCCTAAAGGTGTCGCGCCTGTGTGCTTCCTGTGTGAAGCAAAGAAACCCTAAAGGTGTCGCACCTGTGTATCCTGTGAAACAAAGAAACCCTAAAGGTGTCGCACCTGTGTGCTTCCTGTGTGTAGCAAAGAAACCCTAAAGGTGTCGCACCTGTGTGCTTCCTGTGTGAAGCAAAGAAACCCTAAAGGTGTCGCACCTGTGTGCTTCCTGTGTGAAGCAAAGAAACCCTAAAGGTGTCGCACCTGTGTGCTTCCTGTGTGAAGCACTAAACCCTAAAGGTGTCGCACCGTGTGCTTCCTGTGTGAAGGAAAGAAAACCTAAAGGTGCCGCACCTGTGTATTTCCTGTGTGAAGCAAAGAAACCCTAAAGGTGTCGCACCTGTGTGCTTCCTGTGTGAAGCAAAGAAACCCTAAAGGTGTCGCACCTGTGTGCTTCCTGTATAAGCAAAGAAACCCTAAAGGTGTCGCACCTGTGTGCTTCCTGTGTGTAGCAAAGAAACCCTAAAGGTGTTGCACCTGTGTGCTTCCTGTATAAGCAAAGAAACCCTAAAGGTGTCGCACCTGTGTGCTTCCTGTGTGAAGCAAAGAAACCCTAAAGGTGTCGCACCTGTGTGCTTCCTGTGTGAAGCAAAGAAACCCTAAAGGTGTCGCACCTGTGCGCTTCCTGTGTGAAGGAAAGAAACTCTAAAGGTGCCGCACCTGTGTATTTCCTGTGTGAAGCAAAGAAACCCTAAAGGTGTCGCACTTGTGTATTTCCTGTGTGAAGCAAAGAAACTTCAAAGGTGTCGCACCTGTGTGCTTCCTGTGTGAAGCAAAGAAACCTTAAAGGGGTCGCACCTGTGTGCTTCTTGTGTGAAGCAAAGAAACCCTAAAGGTGTCGCATCTGTGTACTTCCTGTGTGAAGCAAAGAAACCCTAAAGGGGTCCTACCTGTGTATTTCCTGTGTGAATCCAAAGAAACCCTAAAGGTGTCGCACCTGTGTGCTTCCTGTGTGAAGCAAAGAAACCCTAAAGGGGTCGCACCTCTGTGTGAAGCAAAGAAACCCTAAAGGTGCCGCACCTGTGTATTTCCTGTGTGAAGCAAGGAAACCCTAAAGGGGTCGTACCTGTGTATTTCCTGTGTGTAGCATAGCAACCCTAAAGGCGTCGCACCTGTGTGCTTCCTGTGTGAAGCAAAGAAACCCTAAAGGTGTCGCACCTGTGTACTTCTTGTGTGTAGCAAAGAAACCCTAAAGGTGTCGTACCTGTGTATTTCCTGTGTGAATCCAAAGAAACCCTAACGGTGTCGCACCTGTGTGCTTCCTGTGTGAAGCAAAGAAACCCTAAAGGGGTCGCACCTCTGTGTGAAGCAAAGAAACCCTAAAGGTGTCGCACCAGTGTATTTCCTGTGTGAAGCAAAGAAACCCTAAAGGTGTCGCACCTGTGTGCTTCCTGTGTGAAGCAAAGAAACCCTAAAGGTGTTGCACCTGTGTGCTTCCTGTGTGAAGCAAAGAAACCCTAAAGGTGTCGCACCTGTGTGCTTCCTGTGTGAAGGAAAGAAACCCTAAAGGTGCCGCACCTGTGTATTTCCTGTGTGAAGCAAAGAAACCCTAAAGGTGTCGCACCTGTGTGCTTCCTGTGTATCAAGTAGTGGGAAAGTGTAAGAGAGCAGGAACGCGTGAATTCAGGTTTGAAAACATCCTCGGGCGCGAAACCCTGTGTTTATTTGGGTAAAGTGGCTGCCTTGGACGCCGAAGGAGGGTCTCTGTTTCCGCGGGTGCGCAGCTCGATCGGGGAAAATGGTCGACAAAACCAGGGACCACCTCAGGTAGGTCCAGATACACAATCCCATGGTCATTAGTGGCGAAAGATTTTGCACATCAATAAGTTGGTGGCATGAGAAGTCATAGAATTGTCACAATAGTGAGAAAATGAGACCTTACGAAGGGACAGCAGGAGATGATTTGATGATTCAATCTTCATTGGGACAGCACGATTCCTTTCCGCGTACCTTGTGTGCATCCCATGATTCGCAAGGGGTTATAGGACATAAGAGGACCCATTGTCAAGCACTATCAAATCACCATAAAACCATTTATACCCATATGCAGCACTGCTCCTTGCAGCGTTTTTATGAAACCATACGGGCAAGTCCAAATGAGCAAAGCCCCATGAGCCAAGCCATGTGACCCAGGCCAATACGAGCAAAACTCAAAACCCAAAACCATATCAAATCAAAACCAACGAGTGGAAATGGCAAAAACATCCGGCTCAAACCCTTAATTTTGTAAAACCGGATGTTGGCAGCTGTGGCCTTTGCTGACACATGCTGACAAGTGGAGAGAAAGGGAGAGAGAGAGAGAGAGGGAGAGAGCACAAACAAAGTAAACACTGGTCCTTGAAGGATCTTTGAAGGATCCCTGGATGAGGAACGAAATATGAAATGAGATAGTATGAATATAATATGAATATATGATATATGTATATATGTATGTGTATATATAATATATATATATATATTTATATGAATGTCATCTGAATGTCCTTGGCCAAGGCTCCACTCCTTATGGTTTCTACTTCCGTGCGCCCCCGGGCAGCGGCAAAAGCGGCTGTATCTCATACGGAGATGCCGTGGTCATTGCATACACATCGAACGGTGGCAACACTGGATGTGGCTGGTCTCTAGGCTTTGCATCTACAAATTAGTGGCAAACGTTGCGCCAACCAGCGGGTATGGCAGCCAGCGGGTATGGTCCCATTTATGCGTTCACCCTTTTCATGAGCAAGTGGCGAAATGCCAAAAACCTACTGGAACCCAATTTTTTTTTTGTGGGGGTGCCAAGTGTTCAATCCAGGTATGGTTGCAGAGTCGCAGCGATGTGGGGTGATAACAGCACCCAGGATGTTGCCTAGTAAGCTTTGATGATTTTTTGACATGTTTACATCTTTCATTCTGTAGATCCTTAGGGCAAACCGGGACCGGGTGCCCTTTCGCGTGCCAGCTAAGGCATGGGGTTTGGCCATGGAACAGCAAACCCGCACGTTTTCTACATCAGGCCCCAACCAAACAGTGGGCTATCAGGTCATGCGCAGTATGGGCATGGAGTTATCATCGCCTATACGAATTCTGGTGGACACACCTCAAACTGTGGCTGGCTCATATTAGTGTAACATTCTCGAATTTTTCCTTTCTCCTTTCCAGTTTCCGCCCATCAAAAAGCACACTTCAATGTTCTTGCTATTTGGGAGGAACGAATATAGGGACCCCCCTGCAGCCAACCATGTCACGAAGGGTTCAAATTTGGTGCAGATAGGTGGCTGGTATGGCTGCCGAGTGGCTTCGATGATCAACAACGATATGATTTTTGGCCATGGCGGTGCAAACCCAATGCCATTCTACCTAAGACCAATCAGGCCGATATCAGCGAACCACCTTTTGTCGGCCTCTGTCGCTTGGCAAATCTCGGAAATTCTTTGAGCCCGTTTACATTCAATATCTTATAGTAAGAATGTTATCAATCTATATCAACCTTATTTATCTGGGTCTATCCGTTTAAACATAGCTTAACTTTCTTATTGCCAATTTCATTGAAATCGCCAATCCGTAAAGATGATTGGCATCAAGATAAGGTGGATTATTTGTTTTTACCGTTCTCATTTATTTTCCTCGTACGTATTTTTGGAACACGTACCACCACGAAGTCCGTTCTCAATCATCTCCTACTTTTTTCTCAGATGTTACTAAAGGATCTTTCTCAAAACAAAGTCCTCCAAGATTTGCAAAGACGCATGTGAGCAAAAGAACATCGGTTCTCAAAGACAAGTCGTGGTAACAGTATGGGCCCAAAGTATTCCCTATGTTTTTGACCCCTTTCACACTGATTACCTTCAGTGTGACTTCCGGATGATTACTACAAAACGCCTCTTTTGGTGGTAATGTGTTTGCCCTGAACAAACTTACCACGTGGATTGAAGCAATTGTAGGGACAGACGCTTGGATCAGTGGGCAGATCCGAATCTTCATCATTACTCGCATATGGATTCTCTTTCTGAACTTAAAGTTGCATTGCCACTTTTCCTTCTTTTACCCATCTTCATACTTACTCATCTTAACCAATTTGTCCATCGAAGAGGATAAGAAACAATACATTGCCATTGAAACATATATTCTTCAACGCAAGGATTATGAACCTCTCATTGTTTTTTGCTAAGGCATGCATTTTTCCTCTTTCTTATAATGCATTTTCCTTTCAATGCCTATCGTAGTTCTTGAAATCATAGTCATTGTGGGCGCATTCTTCTCACCCATAAATGACGTCGTGATTGACACGTTACCCAAAGTATTTTGATTAATTAATCTTGATTGACACGTTACCCAAAGTGCTCTGGACCCAACTGCAGGCAAAGTTTTCCATTGTGGACGCGTTTAACCCCATGCAAACGCTGGTTGGTCTTCGTGTGGGCTTTCACAACGCTGCGTCCAACCGCTTTCTCAAATTGCATGGAACTGCAGCAGCGAGCCCAACATGTGATGCGGGTGCAATGCCAGACGGTTGGCAGGCGAAACGCGGCATGATCTTGTGCACGAGTGAACCTTGATGCTGAAACATGATTTAGAAAAACATGTATCTGGCAGTCAGGTTGGAGCCGTTTAGAAGCAAAGCTTGCTTACATTATTGAGATACAATGTTAAGTGTTCCTCCATTTGTCTGGTGGTCGTGCCCAACCCTGCGAGGCTGAGAGGTTCGACATTGCCTTTTGATTGCAGTTTTGGTGTATCTGTTTCATGCGGAAATCCGGGGTAAGCTCTCTGGTTAGTGACTAAAAGCCATATATTTTTCCATAAAAATGTCGGCACATTTGATGACATTTGTATGTTTTCACCATTTTGCCAGTGTTTCACTGATGGCGGCTGAGTTCGCAATGACTCCGGCTTTACAAGTCTCAAGGTCTTCTTTCACCGCCCCTCTGTCATGAGGTCTTTGCGACCAATGGGCAGGTAGGGATCAAAGGCCACCGGTTTGGAAAAGTGCTGGAAAGCTCTTTGTCTTTTTGGTGACGATCACAGATAGAGAAACCAACAATGCTTTACTTTATCTTCTAAGAGCGGGACGACAATCTCAGCGCTTTCATGTTTCAATTTGTCGGCCGTGCTCACAGCACATGCAGGCGTGTATGAGAACAAGTATATCTCTCTTCAGTCCACTGGCAGCGCCGTAGCTTCAAGCAACCTCGCGGCATGGGAGTGGTTTGTGCTTGAACACTTTGAGGATGGATTTGCCCTGAAGAATGTGCATCACAACAAGCACCTCGGTACCGTGGAAATTGTTTTGCTGTTCCGCCACTGTGTCAACTGTGTCAATTGTAACAACAGGACTCAACAGGTTTTTCACCTCACCACTCGACAGACGGGACACCACGAGTTTCCGAGATATAGGTGTGAAGCATGTCGGTGGGATGAGAGTCCCACCCCACATCCCGATGAAGCCCATAATATCCCATAACTATACCATGCACAGATGCTTTCCCGGTGATCACCGGTGTGCCCAGATGAGAAACGGGCCGAAACGTACCGAAAGTATGATTCCACACGGAGAGGATACGCAATCCGAGTCTCCAAGCATTGCCACGAATCTTACGAATCTTCCACCTTTCTGACATTTTTGGTAGATCCTCACAATGAAAACAAACTAGTAACCAGAGCTGCCAATCTCAGTGACTTGCTTAAAATATGTCGAATTTACGAATTATTTCATGCGAAACCCGGAAGTTTCTCCTTGCGTTATGTTCTCTTTACCAACTGGCTGGAGTCAGGACAGCTGATGACAAGCGATCTTTACGTCCTACCAACCCCAGTCCTGATGTTTGCCATGACCAGTTAAGGGTGGGATCGCCAGCTAGGGCCAAACATAAGAACGGTTAATTTCTAGTGAAGTTTTTTCGCCCTTGAAATCTCCTGTGAACATTGCTAACTCGAAATTGAGTATAGTTGAGTAGCTTGCCTTGTGGCCTTTTCCTTCAATCATTTCAATCTGGGGTAGAGTCAACTTGCCAACTTGGATTCAACTTGGTTTGCTAAGTGCAGCACTAAGGTACCTTGAAATGTACAACAACTGTTGCATTAGGGGCACCGCTGGCTCAGACGGAGCTGGGAAGAGATTCTCGATCGTGAAGTTGCCTGGAGGCGTGGATACCGTTCCACCTGCCGTCTGGCAGAAGGCGGGCTACGTCAAACAAAAACTGAACGACAACAACTCGTGGGACAACACGCCAAACCATCTCACACCTCCATAGTGACAGTGATTGACAGTGACTACTTTAAACCACCTCAACCTGCAACCAGCACAACGGAATACAACGGAATACAACGGAATACACGGGATCTAACAGCAGGTGTTGGAGATTTTTGGATGCCCAGGTGACCAACCAGGTTTGCAGCGGAGAACCTTACACTCGAGACCAATGTCATTTGGAGATTTGCAACGGCTGGTCTGGGCTGACAGAGGCAGGCTGCAAAGCGAAGTGTGAGAACCAGGAGGTGAGTGCATCTTGCGGACATCGTGCTCAACGACAGTTGTGCATGGCAGCGAGCTACCAACCAAGTGGGGGCTGGTGCCAGTTGTACTCTTCTTGCGGCCTCCTCCAAGCACAATCTGGTGTCCACGTGCTTCGAAAAGTGGACCCGTATGGCGGGATGTCCTTGCTTCAGTTTAACACTGATGATGATGATGATGATGACATTCGTCTTGACCGTGATGACTCTTTGCTGCAGATCACGGATGCTGACGACGATTTGACAGAGCTTGGTATGGCTTTGCCACTGGCCCTCATCAATATCAGCACGTTCCAGACCAAGCTCGCACCAACAAACACATCGAATTCTCTCGACCAACATTTGGACACTTTGACGGACTTGGTGTCTGGCTTCTATGCTGTCTTGCACAAAGAGATGAAGGAAGATGGCCCCCTCTATTGTCCCGAGGGCAACGTTGGTCTCATTCCCATGTGCATCGCGCTATCAACCTGCCTTCTGCAAGCTAAAGTGCCGATGCCTCAGATGCCTTAGATGCCTTAGATGCTCAAAAGCCCCACAGATGGGAGAAGGTACAAGAAGGATTGGTTAAAGACAGGTGAAGACTTGTTCGCATTGTTCACAATATCCGTTGTTCATTTTCAGTGGAAGCCGTTCCTGGAGCCAGAGAAGGTCTCCTTGTTTTTCAATCGCCCTGTATGTCAGGTCTGAATATGAATATACATAATACATGATAATTATACATATTATACATTGTATATGGTCTCATATGGTCCCATATGGTTCCATTGCAAAGTACGTGTGTTAAATGGTCCTGGACCCCTGCGGTATAGATACATAATATATATATAAATAATATATGCGTTGAATTTTGCGAGTGCTTTGACAGCTTGTGAGCTCCCAGTGAAAAAATAACCTGCTTAGCCAGCTGCTTAGCTGCCGGGAAGTTTCATGTTGGAGTGAAGTAAGGCCATCCAAAGTCTCAATGGAGTTCTATGGAGCGATGATGGAGCAAGTGGCTCGCTTTGAGGAAGTTACGTGGGAAACAATCCTGAGAGCCTTGGGCAAGGAAGGGAACCTGAATCTGGACAGCGCAACAATCCCCAGCAAATACGCGTGTGACAGCCGTGATCTCGGCAATCATTCATTGGCTCAACCCTTGGGTGCAGCTCTTCTGCAAGAGGACTCGGAGATGGAACGAAGGTTGATCATGTCGCGCGCCTTGCAGCGATCTGTGGAATCTTCTCATCGCATCTTGGATTCCGTCTTTTGGAACAGCTCTCAACACCAGCTGGACTCCGTTGCAGAGCAGCTGGACAGCGTGTGGCGCCCAATTTGCGATGAACTGGGCTGTGACAGTTCAAACTACTTGGCTGCCAGGCGTAAATGGAGCAAGCGTTCTTGATTTTACTTGCTTGTTGTGCGTGTCATAATGTGTCATACTTAATGTGTACAAAATTGTGTATATATAAACATATTTAATACATTATCGAAGGAAGTTTAGAAGTGAAACTTCCGACAATATGGACAGTTGAAAAGCAGAGGTGAAAAGAGTCAGAAGAGAAAAGATCAGAAGAAAGAAGATGCAGATGCGCGAAAAGGTAGGAAAGTCGCGAAACACTGTGTTTTTCCAATGATTTGTGGCTCCGGAGGGTCGAAAAGTAGGCTCGCTAAAGCGGCTGGTGCGGAGCCAGCTGGCCAGATGAGAGATGAAAAATTGCACGCCGTTGTGGCGCGAAGCACATTTCCAAGTGAAAATGTACAAAACACACCATTCTCAAACCACTTTTGGAAGTTGAGATGTCGAAAAAGTGCAACGCCGTTGTGGCGCGAAGCACATTTCCAAGTCAAAATGTACAAAACACCTCAGCGTCGGACCACTTTTGGAAGTTGAGATGTCAAAAAAGTGCACGCCGTTGTGGCGCGAAGCACATTTCGAAGTGAACATGTAGAAAACACCTCAGTGTCGGACGACTTTTGGAAGTTGCGATGTCGAAAAAGTGCACGCCGTTGTGGCGCGAAGCACATTTCCAAGTCAAAAGTGTAAAAAACTGACGGTCTCGGACCACTTTTGGAGGTTCCGATGTGGAAAAAGTGTCGAAAAGGTGCACGCCGTTGTGGCGCGAAGCACATTTCGAAGTCAAAAGTGTAAAAAACTGAGGGTTTTGAGCCTTTTTTGACGTGAAGATGTCGAAAAAGTAGACACTGATTAACTTACCTAACTTGACTAACTTGACTAACTTCACTAACTTAACTACCCTAACTTCGACGACAACATCAACAGCACAACACAACAACAACAACAACAACACACCACCAACAACAACTACAACTACAACAACAACAACTACTACAACTACAACTACAACTAGAACTACAACTACAACCATATGACTGCAACTACACTACACTAATTACATTACACCACAACTACAACTCCACTACGCTACAACTACAACTACAGTTGCAGTACATCACACTACATCCAGCAGTTGTGGGTGAGGTGACCACTGCAACCATTGCAACCATTCCAGCAAACACAACTCCAACCACCTTTCGGTCAATCAGTGGCTTCGCTCTGCCATCCCTGATTCGCAACAACCAACTTCTCCTATAGGTTTCCTATTTTTGAAACTTCCGCCACCGCCTTGTGCGGTACTACTGGTATCATATGCATAACATATATAATACATATAAAACATTTAATACTTGATACATAGAAACAGCAACCACTCAACCCACTGCGCATTTCTGATTAAGTTTCGCTGGTCATTTGAAAGAGCTAGCGGCAGAGTTGGTCTCGGTAGCTGGTTGTGGTAACTCCGAATACTTCATGACTTCTACATTTATTCATTATAGCTCATTGCTTTTGGTCATTCATGATTTCTTTTGACACTATTTTGGTCCCATTCGCCAGATTCACCAGATCGCCAATTTTATGGATTTCGCATGCCTCCACAACTTGAGGATGTTTTCCTCACTTCTCACCGGCAGTCTGCCATGCTGCTTCAAACCAACATGGCAGCTCATTTGCGGAACGAGATCAAGCAGCGCATGAAACTGGAAAGGAAGGTGCCTTTTCAAAACTTGCAAGCTGAGATGCTGATCATCGCTGTTCCGATCATCACTGTTCCACTGTTCCAACAACCAATTTCATGTGCGTTTGTCAATCGTTTCATCCACTGATAATGTGACAGTACACACCACATTCAGCAGACTCTTGTGACAAATGGGATGACCATATCAAAGACTTTCAAGTTTGATCGCGGAAGTAATGGTTGGACCCGACATTGCGAGACTAACATGTGTGACAAGCTGCTAAGGTGCAGGAAGTGATTGCCGGGAGGGATGCTCAAAAGAATCTGGCCTGAGAAATTGAGGGTGAACGGTCGGGAGCATCAGCCATGATATGTTTGTTCAACGAGACACCCCAAGAGACCCCTGGTAGCGAATGGCAGGGGTAAGTCTTTGGGTCACATATTACACATATGGCACATATGCTCCCCTGTCAGGTTTGGCTATCCCGGCTATCCCAGTCTCATGAAATCACAAGTTGCTTCGCTTACTTCGCTTCAGGTTCTGGCGCCCTGATGATTATCAAGATGCTTCGGTCGAATCCCGGGCCTGTTTGATTTGCCAGAAAAAAACATGGTCGAGCAATGGAACATATCGGAAAACACATCATTTTGCAGATTTTTTGGATGCTTGATGTTTTACTGTTGCATTTTACACATGGAAACCGCTGGAATCCATTGGAATCCCTCCATTGGAATCCCTCCTTTCTTGATTTCCAAAACTGGCCAAAATCACAGGTTTTCTTCTCTCACAAAGTTCATTTTTGGCCAGGAAAGCTTCCATGCCTACCATGCGAAAGGCCGGGCGGGCATTGAGCACATGCTGAAGAGGGCACGGAAGTTGGGCGTCGACAAAATGATGCTGCTGGTCAATCAGGCGGGGACCAGAATGCAAGAGATGTGTTCTTCAACGATGTTACTTTTCTACTGCCAACAATACTCAGGGACAGGTTTTGACTGGAATTTGGTTGGGGCCAAAAAATCAGAGACGGACTAGTAAAACTATTGTGTATCTCCTGGCTTTCATGCCAATGAATAAAAACACGGCTTAGGTCCCAGGGAGCTCAACCCCATACCACAAGTGGAAAAGACACTTTGTGCAGGTGGACATGGCCTTTCACAAGCGGCCTTTGGAGCAGGAGGGGGTTGTGCACACGTTTTCGACGTTTCCGTTCACCAAGGAGGTCGTTGCAAACTTGTGGATGTTGACTCTCCAAATTTGATCCAAGTTGCAGTACATCGGAGGCTTTCAAGTTTTTCCGACGGAAACCAGGTGTTGATCTTTCAATATTGCAGGGGGGAACATATGTTTAGGGCCGTGCCTCGCATTCCTCATGTGTTGAGTGCAGATTTTGCATTTGACACCACCCCACACCACGCCATATTTCCCGTAGTTGCCGAGGCGTTCGATCATGAGGTTTCGAATTTGAGCTTGGCGGCTGTCGAATCAGGTGAGGTTGGTGGTCGTTGGTGGCAGTTTTACATGGTTTCTGTATGTTTCTGTAATGCTTAAGTGTGGTTTCTATTGTTCTTATGGTGGACAATCAGCAGAGAGATTTTAAACTTCACGGTGGGCTACCTGCAAAAGCTGTCTGAAATCGGCACAGGTGACTTCTGGGATGACTTGGCAAAGGTCTTCGACTGCATCGGATATGGCGCGCGCTTCACCTCCACGGGCTACTCCTACAGAGCCATGTCTGATTTATGCCTACAATCTCTTCTTACGAACAGTCATTTCCAGTAGAACCACATAGGAATAGATCAATTACAGTGTTGCGGCAATACAGAAGAACCCGACCACTGTGGGAATGTTGCAGAATTCATTCTTGAGGGAATTTGACATGCTGAAGTGCGTGAGGACCAGCTGGTATCTTAGGTTTTAACGACTACGTATCTTTGGCGCTCGGGCTGTCGGCCGGCGATAGTGCTTCTCTTCGTGGGCTCATCGAAATGCAAGAACTTACCGGCCTCTCGGATGGACGCAGGGGGCCTTGGCCGTGAGTTTGTTCATGTTTGTTCATATTTGTCTATCATATGCTAGATATGTTAGGAGGAGATGATCCGACCATCGACAATGAATTTGTTACATTCTCTTACTATCCTCGGGTTTGACTCTGAAATGTGGGAAGACAGAATCACAAACCCGAGGTGGTTCAGGGAAACTGTTTAAACAAATTGGACGAAGACCACACCATGCCGCACCATTGAAGAGTGCTTTGTTCCAGTTCCATTTCTTTTCGATCTTTTCGCTTTGTCGCCTCACCCCACAAAGAGGGCATGAAGTAATGGTCACCACTCCCTTAGACGTGTGGGCAGAAAGCGAGAGTGATACCAACCATATCACCTGGCACAGGCTGTCTCACCCGACCATAACTCATAGCTGTAGTTGCTTAAGTGATTTCACCTTGATATACCTTGATCACGTTGCAGTCTTGCCCTCAATCCACGCCCGGCGTTTCTTGTAATTTCATCAGTTTTGTTCAGAAATGTGGGGCTTGGTTGATAGCAGGAAGCGTTGTGCTACCACCAACGCATGATTCTGACGCTGAACAATCATTTCTAGCAATACACCGTCATCAGACCGCCAGAACCCTCTTTAGACCTCTGCAGTTTCTTCTTGTTCTTGTTGTTGTTGTTGTTGTTGTGGCCCCAGAAGTCCTTCATTGCAAACTAAAGACATCATAAAACAGAGTCTCATTAATTACTTCTCATTATTTAAGTTTTTTTCATTGTTTCTCATTATCTCTCATTCCGAATTTCGCAGTGTCTCTGAGTTTGGGCCTCGATTTACGCGGCTTTTGCGGTTGGAGCATGCACCGATATATTTTGGGTCGGAGCTCAGGCCAGACGACCGCCGTGGTTCAAGTTTTCCGGCGAAGAAACAACGAATAAACCGAATCGAACCGAATATTTGGGAACCGAATATTTTGAGATGAGTTTCTTTGCCCATTTTTCTGTTTCTTGTCGCATTGGTGTCCTTTCGTCTGCCTCTCTCTCTCTTGCCTGCCTTCCTGCCTTCCTGCCTTCCAGCCTGCCAGATATGGAGTTTCCGCCTTGGCAGGAGATTAGTAGGGCATTATGGGTTGCCTCGAACACTGAGTTTACTCGGGAGCACATTGGGTTCACTGGTTCACATTGAATCATTGGGTTCTGGGAAAAATCCACGACGCAGGCATCGATGACTGCGAGCTTTGGTTGCGGATATCCAAGACTCTCAGTGACCGTTGGATTCATTGCCGCAGCACTCTCCAAGTGGTACAGTCCGTTGGTCTGTCCTTTTGGGCCGACCTACTTTGGATGGCCAAATATCAAATGCTCACAAGCTCACGGTTTCTATGTGACGACCATTTGCTGCGTCTTTGACTTCCGGACCAATGAACACAATTGCCGCTGAGGTAGGCTCAGTGTGGCTCAGTGTGGCTCAGTGTGGCTCAGGTGACTGAGATGTGTGAGATGTGACTGAGATGTGACTGAGGTCATAGTGTCACAGAGCTCGGTATTTTCCGGTTATTTCCACCGTTTAAACAGTCGGCATCCCGCTGCAGTGCGAGTGCGAGACAAAAGACGTCAGAAATTGTTCTGTTGAACCGTGCAGCTGTGAACCATGTGAACCATGCAGCTCTCAGCCAATTGCATCGTTCCAGTCGATTTCAGATCGAAGATCGATATTTCGATCGAAGATCGAAAAAAAGCATCCCATAGCGTTCCCAAGCGCTATGGCTTTCTCTCCCTTGTCCCAGGATGATGGATTTGTTCTCTTAGATTCTGCGCAAGAGTCAGAGTCAATGCAGCGAAGATGTGTCGAAGGTTCCGAAGACCGGCCCAAACGTTGAGATCGTTGAGATTTTCGAAGTCATGTCGTTTTTCTCGTTTTTCCCCGTGCGAATCTTGCTATGGTTTGTGGCCAGAGTGGCACTGAGCAGACTGTGCTTTGACAGCCGGCCTGAGTTGAAAGACTTAATCGACGCAGCTGGCAATTCTTATCCCATAGGGATTTGGGTCAATGACTGGGCTACTGGTCATCTCACTGCCAGAGTAGTACAAATCGTGATTAAGGACCGAGCATACCGAGCACGAGCATGACCTACATGATGATTGCATGATGTAAGATGATACAGTAAAAGAAATATGATATTGCAACATGATTTACAATCAATCTTATATACATATGACAGCGTATTTGGTATTCTGACTCTCTTTTGTCACAGGCACCCACCCTACTATACTTGTGTGTAGCGTGACAGAGCCGACAGAGTTTGAATCAAGAACCGACAAATGAAGCAACATGAGTCAACATTTGTTTCAGCAGATGTGTGTCTTTATGTGATGGATGATGATTGATATGATTTATGACTATTTATGATGACTTAATGATTTAATGAATGATTTATTGTGTGCGTTTGTCGTTTTGTGGTCCTTTCGTTCCCAATTTGGAGGAGAAGTTGGGCTACAACGTGGAGCTGAAGGGTCCTGGCGCCTTGACCCTGGACGGTTTCTTCGCCTTGACAGGATGCACATCGCCCGGCGACCCAACGGACCATGGCTGTGGAGATCCTGTAGATCGTGTCACCGACGTCCACATCAACGTGGAGGTTTGGACATCGTTTTACCAACTCGTTTGGGACGAGCTTCAACGGAAATATCCAGACAGGGCTCCCAGGAATCTCGGGAATATGGGTTACTATGGATCAACAGCATTTTACGTTCCATCAGGAGTTCAAGAAAGAGCATATGATGCTGAAGGTATCAACTTGGACTTCTACCGAGACTACAACTCTTCAAGGGAGAATCCAGGTAGACATTTTGCGAACCCTGGTGATATCAACGTGTCTTACTTGCTTCCATGCACCGAGACCGCGTTGATGTTGAATGAGGCAGGACCTTGCGGGCTGGGTGGTGTTTCAGTTATGATTCAGGAATATTTATGTTTCAGTTATAGTTTCAGTTATCAAAATTCATGGGTTGGTGTGCTTTCAAAGCCGATCACCGGAGGTGATGAGCAACTACTTGGACCTCACAGGTGATTTGGAAGGTGTCAGTGGCACAGCACCTGACTTGACCGGCAAGTGCTACGACGCATATTTTTGGCTTGCCCCTGGGTGCAGAACACAGCCATCAACTTGCCTGATTTGGTTCACCGGTGGCAATGGATGGGGCATGTTTGAATTGCTTCTGAAAGCAACAGCGTACAACATGCCTGTGGCGACGGCAGTGGCATCGAGCTTTGCGAACTATGGCTTGGTGCCCAATTCCTATGATGTGATGCTGTACTGGTGGGTTCCAGATCCCACTTTTTTGAGGCGCTGCTGGGGCCGCTGGGGAACTTGGATTGGTCTAATCAGGTCTTGGCAGGATCCTGTGAATCGATGTGAATCGATGTGAATCGTGTCATTTTGTCATGGAATCTGATGGGATCTGATGGGATCTGATGTTAGCATTTGGTAGTTTTGATATGTTTTGATATGTTTTCTGAGATGTTTTGATATGTTTTGATGTTCTGTATCTGGAGCTGCATGTGCAAAACGATCCAGGCTGACACCCATGAAGATCACGTGCCTTGGAATCAGTTGACATGACATCAGTGACATTGTTGCAGACATCGAATAGAAGGACTTGAAGGAACTGAAGCCCTGGGAAGACAGCGGCATGCTGTGGCATGATGTGACATCATGTGACATCATGTGACATCTTGTGACATCTTTAATCTCCCAGCCGAGGTTCCCTGAATACGATCGAGCCGCATGGGCCAAAGGAGATAGCCGTACGGCTGCACGTGATGTGTCCCTTGACAAACACGTGAGTCAGGATTTGGAGAGTTTGGCCCCAGAAGTCGTTGAACTGATCTCCAGACTCACTATGAGTCTCAACACTGAACAATCTGATGCTGAACCAGCTCGACACGGGAGACTCCAACTTCGATGTGGCTTGCCGATGGCTCAAAGAGAATGAAGCATCTTGGTCTTCGTGGCTGCCGGAAAGGGGCAAGTGCTTCTCTCAATTTGGCATGTACAGCGATGCTTGCCATATATTCTTTTCTAGAAATGGGTTGGGAAGGTTGGGATGTTGTGGGATGATTTACCGTACGTATTTATAACAAGGTGCCTGAGGTTGTTTCCTCATCGACCTGAACCAAGTTCTATGATTTGTATTGATTCGGGTCAACCGCTTGCAGAGGTTGAAATGCATGCGAAAAGATTGATTTGAGACATTTGCTTTAGAAATGGTTGGAGTTTCACAGTCACAGCGGTCATTGAAACCATTGTGCTCACTTCCCGAACTATTCACGACAGTGGGATCTGTGCAATGCAATATGAATCTCAGGAACGGACGGAGACGTTCTTGATGCAGCGCAATGATTCTGATTCTGCTATAACTTGTAGAGCCTGTCCTTCAGGCCCTGTCAGTGCAAACATGCTGTGTGTGGATGTGGTCCTGCAGTCATTTGTGCTTTGCCGGCATAGTGTGGTAATATTGCAAAGTTATGACCATTATGACCGACCCAGCAACAATCGAAGCAACATAGCAAGAGACACAATTACCCACGACTTCGCCAATATGTTTTGGGCATTGTGCTGCTATAGGCTATAAGGCTATAGTTGTGATTGTCCGCACAAGTGCAATGCTCAGAAGTTCAGGGTGCTGCGTCAGGCTTTTACTCATCTCGCCTCGAAGATGATCAAGGCCAGTGGACATGGCATCATCTTTGAGGATCATACTGATGCGTTTGCATGGATTTGAATATGATTCGAATGCTTTCAAGAATTCAGATCATTCAAAAAGATCATTCAAACATATTGAACTGAGCTCCTCTTTAACCTCGTTCAACCTTGTTCAGCCTTGTTTAACCATGTTCGATGTGTCCTTGTCGACATGTGAGCACTTGCGTCACCACTGCGACTGCGTGTACTGCGTGAGGCATCACCTTCATTTGCCTGCCGTGTGGGAGTGGAAGCTTCCAAGCTTCAGGAGCCGCGACTTTGTGCAACCGCTGCCCAGTTGGAGCGTACCAGAACGAGACAGCCAGTCTTTCGTGCAACCGCTGCCCAGTTGGAGCGTACCAAGATGTGGAGGGAGGAAGTCTCTGCAAAATGTGTCCTCCGGGTACAAGCACTCGACTTTTGGGATCGGTCTCCATTTCAGATTGTGGTTGTGAAGCTGGATCCATCAACATTGCGAAGAGTGGCACTTTCGAGTGCGTTCGATGCATGTCTGGCTTGGACTGCCCGTTCTCATCTACACTGGAGGATCTCAAGAGTGGACAATCGAGTAATGGTCCGGATTTTGTTCCTTGGTGAATGATCAGCCGACCTTTGATTCACCAGGCTATGGCATGCTATGGCCGTATATATAAGATTATGTCAGAACCATCATGAAGCATCATGAACATCGATCATTCATGATCATTCCAAACGTTCCAAAAATTCACCAGGCATCATTTCTAAGATGAACCTGTGACAGCCAAGGTTCCGAGAATTCGAAAAGGCTACTATACAACTCTGGAGGAGACCGGCCCCAGGGACAACCAGTTGTAGCCAGCGAAGCCAGTGAAGCCGGGGGAAGTGATGTCTGACGTTAATTGAAATCTTTCGGACCATGCGAGAAATGTGCCGATCTGGCTGAAACCGCACAATCCCAATAAAAGATATAAAAGCACAGCATCATGTGTTTTTGAAAACACGAAATTGCCATGTGATCCTCATTTTACGAACAAAGAAACGGAAACAGCATGGATTTCAGCTTGGATTTCAGTGATATGCTGCGATTCGCCTGCGATTCGGAGATTCTGCAGGAGCCTTTGGAGGTTCTTCAGTGCAGACCCGAATCCTCGTGTCCAGGTGGAGCTCCAGGCGCGGAATTTTTTCTCGATTTCTGAGAGCACTGTAACATCCGATGCATGTTTTATACAATAGAAATACGTATACATTCATATATACACATATATACATACATATACATATATATATATATATATATACACATCTATATATATATATGCACATATATACATATAATAATTGTAGAGCTTCGCACACTGGCGGTGCCGGGTTGGGGGCGTTCGTGGCTGTCAAGCTGAGGAGTTTGCGTTGGCAGCCCAGGTTTGAACAGGGTTGGCACTGTAGGGAAGCTGAGGGCCCAGAGCAGCAGAGATAGGCCGAAAGTGCGATCTGGCATGATCTGGCCTTCGGCCTGCGGCTGCCTTTGCCTAACGCCACTTTCTGAACCGACAAGAAACTAGCTCCAAATTGGAGCCTCGCCACACCGAAACACGAGGTCTCCAAAACGCTGGCTTCGCCGCTTGCTTTCTTCTTCCGTCTAGCTTCCTTCCATGTCTTGCTGGCTCCTGCCTCTTGCCTCTTACTCTTTTCCGTGCTTTCTATACTCTTGCTCCTTCTCTTGGCCCCTCTTCTCTGACGCCCTCCCCTACTGTCGGCAGGGTTCGGCGGATTATAATATAATTATATTATAATTATATATGAAAGCTGTGCAGCTTGATTCCTTCCGATTCACATGAAACATTTTTTCAACCATTTGATGATTTATATTAATGCTCTACCTGATCCGTTTTTTGATTTTGTATAAGAATTTATCCGCATCATATCACCAGGTTAGACCCTTATTTTCTGCATTTGGCTGGTGCTCATTTTGTGCCCCTGGTTTGTGCTCACTGTCACTGCCCCGGGGGTAGATCAAAAACAAAACACATATATATCATATGAATCATATGGATATAGAATGATATAGATATCAACAGATCATGGAGATACATGGAAAATCATGGAAACATGTAGAGAGTGTTTGATCTGTATATGATGTGCATCATACTATGGCCATTATGCAGAGGTAGTATGGAAGGCTATGATATGTTTCGGTATATTGTTGAAAATACCAGGTTGATTGTTCAGAAACGGCCGTTCCGGAAAAGTAGGCCCGATGATTGGCTAACAAATTCTCAAGGCACTTGTGGCGCGTCGAGCCAAAATGAGCCTAGAAAGGATTTCACAAAGGATTTCGTCAAAAAAACAGATCAAACATATTCATTATTATGCATTCCACAACGCTGACAGGAAGATGCAACAAAAACCTTGTTGGGACGCTGTGCGCCGTTTGCCTTGAAGGGGAGACACAAACCTTGACCAGCAGTGGATGTGAAGAGTGCGGTGCCGCCGTGGTCGGGTGGCTGTTTGTGATCCCTGTGGTCATGGGGTTTCTTGTTGTCACATATTACTTCACCAACTTGGAGGTTGTGACACAAGCCACACCTTTCAAAGCAGGTGTGATGACATCTGCGATCGCAGTCAGTGCTATGCAAGCCTTGGCACTGGTTGGGCTGATGTCGGTGAAGTGGCCAACTACGTTCCAGGGTGTCTCATCAAATGTGCAAATTGTGTTGCTGGACCTCGATGGGATGGGCTTGAGCTGTTTGTCAGGAAGCGACCCTTTGGCACGCTACCTGATGGTGGTGTTTATCTTCCCAGCCGGCTTGATTTGGATTTTCATGTTTTGGTCTTTTACATTGGCTCTGGCCAAATGTGTAAAGTGGAGATGGTTCAAACCGTGGAAATTGCACTTTACCTTGAACACAGCAGGACTTGGAATGCAGTTAGGTTATGGAACTATGGCTGCCGTAGCTATGAAACCTCTCATGTGCTATAGCCATCCCAATGCTCGTCAAAGCCTCATCACCTACCCGAACCTCTTTTGCGGCGAGAGAGCACACAGTGTCTTGCAAGTCGCAGGGATCAGTTTCCTTACGATCTTTGTGGTGGGTTTTTTCGTGATTTGTTCCTATGCAGCTTACAACATGCCACGGTGGTGCACTTCTGGTCAAAGAGAACGACTGCAGAGTTTTCGTTTCTTCATGGGAAATTTTCGCTTCGACTGCTACTGGTTCATTCTGATAGTGCTACTCCGCGGCTTCAGCTTTGCATTGGCCGTTGTCATTGGAACCAATGTTCCACCTGCACAGACCACACTCGCGAGCCTCATCCTGACCACCTATGCCATTCTGCAGTCGTAGATGCGGCCATGGAAAGTCCCAGTGATCAATGCCACAGATATGCTCGTGAACGCAGGTCTTCTCCTGTTGGTCAACAAAGCCATCCAGATTGACGCTGATGTGGAAAGCCAGTTTGCTGAGACATTCTGCATTGGCCTTCTCTTGTTTCTCAGCTTGGAGAACATACATGAATCACATGAACATATCCAATCACAAAGTTTCACTATGCTAGAATTTCTTGCATGTTCTCGCTACTTGCATCCCACTCGAAACCGCCAGAGAGTCGGGAAAGGGTTGTGGAATTAAGGGAAGATAAGGAATAACAAGGAATGATATGGAAAGATAAGGAAAGGGAAGAGAAGAGAAGATAAGGAAAGTAAAATGGAAGGGATGGAAGGAACGAAACGCGGGGCACAAAGCACACGTGAAGCACACGGCACAACTCCGCCACATGCCATGACGTCAATGTCATCCGATGTCTTAGAGGCAGGCAGTCACTGACGAGGCCTGAGCTGTTTTCGTGCGTTGATTTGTTGGCATGACATTGACGTCAGGTATGTCAGGTATGTCAGGTATGTCAGGTATGTCAGGTATGTCAGGTATGTCAGGTATGTCAGTCGCATTTTTGTTGACCTTTTATACAATTTTATACAGTCTGACTTTACCGCGCGGCCCTGACCCTACAGCGCCGCAGATTGATGCAGATTCTGTATTGCGCATAAGCTCACATTCTCATGGTTTCAAGATGTTTCAAGTCCTTTTTGCTCCAGACTCGTTACAAGTTTGTTGCAACCTACTCGTTTGTCATATAAGAATCCGTAAAAATATGCTGAGTCAGCTGAGTCTTGGTCCATGGTCGCCCCGTTGTTTGTATACCTGGATTGAAACCCTCAAGCAGATAGGGTTGTTTCCTTTGAAGTGGTTGGTTTGCAGAGCTGATTCAAGTCTTGTGTAATGTTGGGATCTTTTGATGCCTTTTGTATTTTTTTCTCACCGTTTTGATGTTTTTTTGCGATTGTTTTGTCTTGTCATTTGCCTCATTTGCTCAAGATTGCTCAAGGATGATTCTCGTTTCCATCATGGTGGCATTCACTCTGAGTGCTCTCGCACTGGTACTGCAGAAATGCGGTGCTGAGTGGAGGCAATTCTTGACGTTGGGAGATGTCGGCAAAGAAAAGGACATCTGCACGGCATTGAAAGTCTGTGCCTCGCAAGAAAAGCAGCACGCTACGTGATGTGCCACAGCATGTGCTAGGCTGCTACACATTGACACGCGGATATGTTCTAATATGTTAATATGTTCTACAATCAATTCATTTCATCGAATTTCATACAATAATATACCTTAGTTGGAAACACGAGGTTCATCAAACTCGAGTACTTGAGCGTATCCAGTAGGCAGGAAACAAGTCAAAGAAGGTCATTAATTTTGAGAGGGTATGACATAATTACACAGCGAGAAATGTTGTGAAGAAATATGGACAGGTAAGTCATGCGTGGCGGTTGGACGAAACACCGCCATTTCTGGTGCAACCCATCCAGAAGTTGAAGGCTTTGTATACAGGAGAAATAGACATGCATTTCCTGTGTGGGAAATTATGGGTTTTTCATATTCAAAGCTAAGTTTGTCCGGCCCAAACCCCGGGTTTGTTCATGCTGCAATTTATACCCATGGTGTGAATTCTTCCGCTGCTTGATTGCTTGCGGTGTAACCATGGAATATAATGTTGGAATATGTTGGATAATTTTTGGAGGGCAAATTGAAAGACAAGTGGGTTCAATGTTAACTCAGAATACGAAGAAAGAGGCCGTGGATGAGTGCAATCAGTGCAATCCTGATTTTCTCAATTCTAGTGTTTGGGAGCTTTTCTGAACTTGAAATATGTGAGGCAAGTTCTGTTTCCAAAGCCCTGTGCATCGCGACAGATGTACAAATTCATGGTGCCGATGAACTTCCCTGCACTTCTGCGCACTTATTCTTTGGGTTTCATAGTGTCGCAATGCTTCACATGTTTTGGCGGCTCATCCAACACTTTTTGACGCCGAGGTGCTGATGATCTCATCAAGATCGAGGAAGGGGAGTTGGCCACGAAGATCAATCTTTCGAACTCTTATGACGTGCAGACTTTGCTCAAATTTATTGATCTGGTCTCGGAGCTCTTTGACAACACGATGCCTGAACGTGTCAGCATGTCAAGAGTTAATCCATCAGTGATGAACCGGCGTTCAATTGCATCAGCAGCTTCCGATTTGAAGTTCCAAGAATCTCAGGGATCCCTTAGCTCGACAGATCCCGCAGATCTGGCAGATCCGGAAACAAACCGGGGATCCATCGTGTCCAATGTGTCCAATGTGTCCAACGTGGAGTCGTCAGGTGCCTGGTCGGATCTGGTCGGATCTGGTCGGATCTGGTCGGATCTGGTCGGATTGCCGTTTGCAAATTTTGCGTTTCATCGAAGTTTGTTCCTTTTGGCCTCGGTTTTGGCACCATTTTTTTCAAGTCTACAGAGTACTCAGGTGCGGCAGACGCGGAAACACATGAAGCACAGGAACCAGAGGCACCGGCACCGGAGCCAGAAGCGCGCAGGAAGATCATTATGGCCTATAGACAGCTTAGCCTTTGAATAACACCGTCGTTCCGTGTTCTGTAATTCATCTTCAGATATCTGCAGCTGGCACGTCAAAGACGGCTCAGCTGCTGTGCCCGTGTCTTCGTAGAAGATCTGTTTATGTTTTGTCGTGCAGATCTAAAAAGTGAGCCTGTGCTGATTGGATGGTCTATGGTCTGTGTGATTTGAATTTGCACTCGTTTGAACATGGTTTAAAGTTGAAAGATGTTGAAAGGTTTATGATTTCCTGGTGATCTTTTCTGGAGATGCAGTGAGATCCTCAGTGAGATCCTCGCCGAGGGCATGGAAGAACCGGAAGCCACGGCATGGACCTTGGAATAGCGTGGAAGATTGGAATGTGTCGTTGCTTCGTTGCCTCGAGGTCGTAGATCCAGGTAGAAACGTTCCACATGTCACCAGTGACCATCAGTGACCCAAACTCTCAAAAGCATGATTTGAAGATCAAAAACATGATGTAAGATATGTATAGATATGTAAGATGACGTGACACCCTGTTCAGATCTTGAAAGCCGTCAAAGTGGAGACTTGGTATCTCATGACGCCAAATGGCGATGGGGTTTTGGCATGTTTTGGCTCCCAGCTCGAAACAGTATCGTATTTGCAGTAAGACATGATACGACATGAGAAGACTGATAAGACGGTTGACATCGTTTGACCATGTTTGACCAATCTCTCCGTGGTTCGGACAAGGTGTGGCAGATGATGTCAAAGACATGCTGTGGACCGTAACAAAACTGTAACAAATCATAACGGCATCAACGGGGTCTGGTGGTTGAAGGATATTAAAGTTATTCAAGTCAGCTTCAAACAGTTGCCTACATGCGACATCATGCGACCATACCACAGAGATTGTCAGCTCCTAAATGAAGAAAACTAGTTTTTGGTCACACTCGGCTGATCAGATTGATCAGGAGCCCTGACTCAAACCATGACGTTTTCAATTGGAAACCAACAATTGACTTGGCGCTGAAAAATCCCGGCATCCAGAAGTACCAAACCTGCAAGCCTGGTCCCAATTTTTTATAATTTTTTGAGACGCTTCTAAGTTGCCTGCCATGGTACCTGGTGTGCGTAGTTCATGGTCTCATCATGGTCTCATACTTCCTGTTGCTTGAAAAGGAGAGCCTTTGTCCCAGCTGCCAGCATTTCGACACAATCAACTCATCGAAGACACTTCCAACATCCATAAGCGTTGCGCCCCAAGAGCTATTGGAGCCTGAAAGCCCTGAAAGCCCTGAAAGCCCTGACGGTCGAAAGGCGAACGGCCGATGGTTTCGGAGCGCGAAACTGTTGGTCCACAGTTTGTCCAATTGCAGCAGTGTCAAGACGTGCAGCAGAGCATGGTCTTTCCTGGCCATTCTTTTTAGGCCTCACCCGAGATTCAGGAAGAGCAGAGCATGGTCGTCAAAAACTCCACAAGAAACGCAATGGAAAGCACTTGCTGATTCCGTTGCTGTGAAATTGGCCCATCTGCGTCAGGTGGAGCTGGTGGAACTCCATCAACTCCGTGCGTTGAGTATGTTGAGCATGTTGAGCAGCCGAGGATCGGAAACGGAAACGCCGTCGGAGACCTCTTCGGTGCTGCTGCTCTCCGCAGACAGCGAGTCCTATTTCCATCGCCCGTCTGTCGCGCCCTTCATCCGCCAACTGCGGTGCTATGCGCAACGCCGCAAGATGCGCCTGGTGTTGGACGGCGGACCTTGGCCTTTGAACTATTTCAACGTGGGTCTTCAAGCAGCGTACACTTGGACAGTCCATTGGACTGCCGGAGAAGCTCGTGAATCCCATCATGCATTGGAGGACATGCGAAATTTGATGGTCGATCTGGTGTCAAAGCGACAGTTGCAACGGGCATCCGAGCTCCTCGGTTGGAAGCGTCTCAATGTTTACTCTGAGGATCCCGCCAAGATGACGAAGATTTGGTCCATCCAGAGACAGTTGGAAGGGAACGCCAGCATGGTGGTTTACTTGGATACTGATGTCATTATTCGCCCAGACAGTTTACACTCAGGTTTGGTCCCACTTTTGTTGCTACACGACTCCACTTCGAAAGCTTGGAATCGTTCAAGCCGACCGGGTCGACGAAGTCGCCCCAGTCGCCCCAGTCGCCCCGGTGATATTTTTGTGCGAGATTCCCATCCAGGCACGGAGTGTGTCAACATTGGTTTCCTGGCGGTGCGGAATACCCGTGCCACACAACTGCTGCTGGAACTTTGGCGACAAAAGACTCATTGGAGTGCTTTTTGGGATCAAAGTGCCCTGGCCGAGTCTTTGTTGGAATTGGTGGGAATGGAGATGCAAAATCGGGGTCAAGTTGGCTACAGATCGCAGTGCTTGCATTTCTTGTTTCCAGGAGAATTTGGAGAAGTGCCGTACAATGCGTATTGTGATTGCTGGCAAGACGCTCTGCGAGACATGATTGGCCCCTATCGTCAGCGCCGGAGCCGAGTGGTGAGTTTTGTGGATCCTGAAGAACTTGACGTAAACTTCGTCCCCAACGACGTCTTTTGGGACCATGGTTTCTCATTGGAAGGAATGAGATTGGTCAGGAGCGACATTAGTGAAATCATGCAACCTTTGATCATTCATTGGGCTGGTGTGAGCAATCAAGACATGCGGCTACACTTTGTCAACGAATATTTGAAGCGACGGTTCAACACCACTTTCTCGAAAGGAACTTGTTCCAGGCTGACGCCACAGCTCACGCCGCTCACACCACAGACGCCGCCACGGTTTTTCTCCCATGGAAGGCTGGTGAGGTGCTGTAGAAATCTGCAGAAAGAGCAGCAGCGCCTTGCGTTGGTCGACTTTCGCCAGATGTGTTACTGGGGCTGCTGTGAATGGAGACCCATCAAGGCAGCGGATTGCCACAGGTTGATGGCACCGAGTCGAAAAAGATGAACCTGGCTGTCAACATTTCTCAACGTATATGTAAGTGATTCAGAGATTCAACATGACTTGGATATGATTTGGAGATTGCTTAATTATATGTTATTAACATATTATTAACATAATAGCCCACGATAGCAACTGGAACTAGCTGTACAGCTAGCATGAGCTGCTTTGGCCTGCGCTGTGAAATCCTTTCCGAAGTCTTCAGCAGCACTGCTCCCTTGCAGGTCACTGCTGAGTGTGGTCACATGTGGTCACTATCTTGGAATCGCAGTTGGGAGACGGTTTCATGACGTTTGTGATGTTTGAGCATAGGCAGACCTTATGCTACAATCCTTGTGTTACTATGACATGTTTCCTCACATTGGAAAATTGCTCTAAACTAAGCCCCGAATATGTTGTGAGGATGTTCTGGATATAGGCTTGATGTAGGCACTTCGTTTGTAAGTTTTGTGGACTTCTGTGATTTGCCAGCTGCGCAGTCAGGAAGTTCTTTTTGTAGCTTGAGTGAGCATGCTCAATGTTGCTGTCCACCCGTCGAGCCCCACATGAGTTTCCCTCACCACGCATCGGGTATGATGAAATCATGTCATTCAGAATTCTGCCTTTGGGCCATTCATGGGCTGCTATAAATCAAAATGACATAAAATGACCATAATTAAATGATATTAAATTATTAAATGACCCCAGATGTTTGATGATGTTTTCAGATTGGTCCAGAAGAGAAAGTCGCTGGAAAGAATTCACTTGACAGCAGACGGTTGTGAGGCCCAGCTGCCGATGAGACTGTGCACGCAATGCTGAGACTGAAAATGATGCTTGCCAACAATGAAGCAACATGAAGCAACATGAAGCAGCTATTTCAATCTATTTCAATCTATTTCATATGTTTCTGAATGTTTCCCAAAAAATCCAAAAAGCCTTCGAGATAGAAATCCTGTTCCATCCTGTGGTCGAGGCCCCGTTGCTCAAGGGTCATATTATGAGAGAGACAGACCAAACTGCAGCTTATTTAACCTACGTATGTTAACGTTTTTCTTTATTTTCAAAGCTCTCAGCCGGCAATAAAACAAAGGAAAAGGGGAAGCCTGTTGATCCTTCGTGAGTATTTGAGTTGTGGGGTAGCTGCACTCAGACATGAAGCTTTTGGAGCCAGGAAATGCATGGAAATGCCATACGTCACAAAAAGGTCACATTTTGAAAATAGTTTTGACATGATCGCTGTTGAGTGCGATGTTGGGAGGTGCACAGGCATGGCAGCACAGTGCAACAGACAGTTGATCTTGAAAGATACTCGACATGAACTGAACTGACACGATGGTATGATATGGATTGATATGGATTGATAATGGTATAATGTCCCGTTTTTCCACGTGGTCATTCCATGTCATTCCTACTTCACCTTGAACTGTTTGTTGAGAAACAGGCAGCCGCAGCTGTCTGTGCCATTGTCTCAGGGGAGTGTTCCACGATGTTCCAGACATTTCTACAGGAGTCTTTCACAGATCAATCAGCATACAGACTTGAGGCTGAGACTCGAGATGAAACAGACAAGGTGAGGACCACTGTTTTCTCACTGCTTTTCAGACCTAGCTGATCCTAGCTGCATGTTTAATGTGAACCGTACATTCTGTTCATCAATGTGATTTCAATATCAAAGTAGATTCACATCAAAGGTGTTTTTTTCATGGCAACGTCAATGGCAAACGGACACAGAAATACACAGAATGCGAGGCGAACAAAGAGTTTGATCGATGGAGTGATGACGACACTCCACAGGCCACCAAGTGCAAAGTCGACCTTAGCAGTCCATCGCAACTCATGGGCAAAAATGGACCATACAATTACAATCATGTGTAAGTAACATTAAGATTAATTGACATTCATTAATGAACATTAGTTAACATCAATAAACATTAGTTGACATTAATTAATTAGCATTAGTTAACGCTAATTAAGATTAATTGACATTAATTCCCAGCAATTTACGTTAAGTAACATTTCCCACTAGTTGACACTATTTGACACTAATTACCAATAATTAACATCACTTAACGTAAATTAACATTGATTAACACTATTTTACATTAGTTAACAGTAACTGACATCAATGAACGTGAATTGACATGAATTAACACTAACTGATATTTATCAACATTAAATGACATTAATTCATTAAAACATGCGTTAACATTAATGGTTTTTAACTAACATTAACCACCATTAATTAACATTAATTGATATTGTTTGACATTAGTTACCATGAATTAACATGAAAGAACACTAGTTGACCTTATTTAGCATTAATTGACATTAGTTACCATTGACTGACATTAGGTGGCATTAATAAACATTAGTTAACGCTAAGTACCATTAACTGACATTCACTGACATTAATGGACATTAGGTAACATTAGTTTTCATTAACAATAGTTAACATTAATTGGCATTAATCAACATTAATTGACATTAATTGGCATTAGTTATCATTATTTTTGTGATTTTAGCGTCCTCTGTTACAGTAGCACGATTTTAGGCACGATTTGGCGCACGAAAAATTGCAGAGAAAAGGCATGATATGCTGCACGAAAAAAGTCAAAAAAGAGCACGATTTGGTGCATGAAATGCCGAAAAAAAAAGCAATTTGGCGCACGAAAAAATAAACAACACATGTCATGTGTGTTGCATGGGGAAATGCAAAAAAGACGTTTTTCTGGTGCCCAAAATGGGGCACGATTTGAAGCACGATGAATTTAGATCTGTTTTCCACGCCAACCCAGAGGTTGGCGCAAGCAAAGATAAATTTTGCGGCGCTGATGTGTGACAACCAGAAATTGCTGCACTTGAGCTGGATGGACGGGCGTTGTAGTCCAAAGTTTCCTAGGTGTTCCCAAACTCAGGATTTCATGGCACCATTTGGGGGGTCTGTTTGGTAAGACAACCTTTTACTGACTGCGACAGAGCAAGGCAAAGCCTCAACATTAATTAACATGAATTAACATCAAAGAACATTTAGTAACATTAAGTAATATTAAGTAACATTAAGTAACATGAATAAACCTTTATTTCACAATTAATAGACATTAATTAGGATGAATTGACATTAGTTCACACTAATTGACAGTATAATCAACATACTTGACAGGCATTGACTCAACTGGCAATAAATGACATTGGTACATTGACATTAATTCGCATTCATTGACATTGATTCACATTAATCGACATTAACTAACATTCATTGACATCAATTTACATTAATTTACATTAATTGACAGTAACCAACATTAATTGACATGCATTGACATTTACTGACATTCATTGACATTAGTAAACATTAATCAACATCAAACCACACAAAGTGACATTAATCAACATTAAACTAACATTAAATAACATGAATTAACATTTATTGACATCATTCGACATTATTTCACACTAATTGACATTAAGTAACATTTTTTGACAGTAATTCACATTAGTTGACAGTAATCAACATTTACTGACATTAATTGACAGTAACTGACACTAATTGACATTAGTTAACATTATCTAACATTAATTCACATAATTGAGATTGGTTAACATTAATTAACATTCATTATCATTTATGGGCTGAAACTGACAGTAGTTAACATTAGTTATTAACATTAAGTAACATTGATTCTGCATTCATTGACATTAACCACATGAAGACTCATTTATTGACATTATTCAACATTTATTGACATTAATTGGCTCTAGTTAGCATTAACTGACATGAGCTAACTTTTTTAATACTCACTAACAATTGTAAACATATGTAAACATTAGTTGACATTAGTTAACATAAATTAGCATTAATTGATTTTGATTTACATTGATTGACAACTGCTGCCATTACTGGACTTTTTTAAACATTAATTGACATTAGTTACGATTAACTGTCATTAGTTGACATTAATCAACATTAATTAGCGCGATTCAACATTAATTGACATTACCTGGCATTAATTGACATTAGCTGTTTCTAATTGAAATTAACTGACATTGACTAACAGTATAATTGGCAGAAACTGCCATTAATGGGCATTCATTGACAGTAATTGTTTTTAGTTAACATTAATGGGCATCAATTCACATTAACTGACATTTGCCAACATTGAAGTAGATAAGATTCAGTAACATTCTTTGGCATCAATTGGCACTAATTGACATTATAATATGTTTCTGGTTGGCATTAATGGACATTAACTAACATTAAATTACATTAGCTTGCATCAAGCAACATTCTCTGACATTCGTTAGCATTCATTAAACACTAACTGCCATTAATCGGCATTAGTCATTAGTTAACATCAAGTGACATTAACTAAGTTACTTAAAATTTATCGACATCAATCAACATTGATTCATATCAAATAAATTAGCTAGCATTAGTTGACATTAACTGAAATATTATTAAAATAAATGGACTTTGGCTAGCATTTTCAACATTAATTAACATCAATTAACATTAGTTGACATTAGTTAACATTACTTTGCATTAATTGACATTAATTAATGCTAATTAACATTCGTTGATATTAGTTACCATTAATTAACATCTGTTGACATTAATCAGCATTAGTTAACATTAATTGTCATGGATTGACTTTATTTAACTTAACACTAGTTGACTTTATGTGGTATTAATCGGCATTAACTGTTTTTATTTAACATCAATTGTCATTATAGTTAACATTTCTTAACATTAATTGATTAATAAGCATCAATTAACATTAAACAACATTAGTTAACACTAATGAACACTATTTAACATGTGACATGAATTAACATTTTGGATTTTGATGAACATGTTCCAACATTAATTGACATTATTTGACATTGTTCAACACTAATTAACATTAATTCCTTAACATTAACACGCTTTGTCAATGCACCAACGGCAACACCGTGGCTTGGCGAGAGGTGAAAGCAACAAAAGAGCGTGAGTTCGACGCTTGGAGCGAAGTGCCTTGGCAAATCACGACCATTCCACACTGCGCAGACACTGCACAGACCATGTCGCACGAGATGTCACGATGCCACGTCATCTTGGGCACATTGGGCACCGAGGAAAGTGTGGCAAGTGCCTTAGACGTCTCCATGAGGTCTCTAAGTGAAAGTCTTTCGACCACGTCGTTGAACCAAGGAGGTGGAGCAGGAACAAAAGGAAGACCAGGAAACATGAAGCATCATTCCTCATCATGCCGAGCATTCATGCCGAGCATTCATGCCGAGCATTCATGCCGAGCATTCATGCCGAGCATTCATGCATCAATGTTAAGTAATGATTCGACATGTTATTTATGATTCTCAAAATGTCTCTATTTATGATTCGAAATAATACTAGAAATCATTTTTTATCTGAAGTTGTTATTATATGCTGAGAATGTGCTGACATTGTGCCGAGCCTTCGCCGAGTCACTTGTGACGTTTGTGACCGCAAGGAGCTTTTCTTCACCGATGCAGCGCCGGACCACTCCTTGGGTGTTTCGAGTAAGCACCGCGCACCACATCCCAGCCATCCCAGCCACTCGGCAGCCGAAAGCTTCGACGGATCGATGGTCCGATGGTCCGATTTCCAGTGTCAGCTACCATCAGCTACCACACCCTGATGGTTTGGCTTTCAATCAGAGAAGTATAGTCGGAGGTCATCACAAAGATCATGGAGGTATACACAGTCTTGATGTCTTGAAATATGGTCTTACTTTGTCTTAATTACATCATTTTACGTTGAACCATCCTTCTCCCACATTGTCCTAGTCACAAACTAGGTTCAAAAAATGTTTAAGCTATATAGAACAAGATATCATTGAAAATCTGAGATGTTTGTATCTCCGAAGTTTGGCTGAGTTGCGATGCATAAATTTTCCACATGTCATTGAACCGCTCAGGCGCCCCCCAACCTGCAGAGGCAACGCTGTGCTTGATGCGTGTCTTTCCTAGAATCTGCTTATGTCAACAGAATTTCTAACATTTTTTCTCAGTGAAAATGAGGCTTTAGATCGGCAGAGATACACATGAAAACCATATTGTAAAATGATATAAAATAATATATAAAATAATATAAAACGATATAACATGATATAAAATGAGATAAAATGGTTCCATTTTTCCATAGTTTTCATGTTTAGCGCCGTGCCAGGTTGAGGTGCGTTTGTCGCCCAGACCTCCCAAGGCGTCGAATTGAAACGTGGCGAAACGCGTAGCAGTCACTGTCACTGCCGCGGCCATCGCAGGCTCCACCGCCAGCACATTTGCTTCAAGCAGAAAGAGAAGCAGTGGAGTGGCTTCGAAAAAAAGCCGGAAGCTCATTCCGTTGACATCATTGACATATATTGACATCATAAAAATCCTGACCTGAGATGTAGCGAGTTCATACATGTGCAAAAGATCTCAACATATGTCAACTTTTCTTAAAGTGTCTTAAAGCCATCACTTGTCACATGAGTCATGGCATTTCATGTCAGACTGTCACTTTCTGCATCACAGCCCGATGCTCTGTGAAGTTAATGAATTGCGAGTTGCAAGCTGTCAGCCTGTATAGATATGTAAGGCATGTATAGAAATGTATAGAAAAGTTAGATCGCTTCAGTTGAGAGATGTCGTTTCCTCGCTTGCTCGTGGCGCAAGGCGGAGGTCCCAGTCCAGCCTCAGCCTCCAGCGCCAGCCATGCCGGCCACAGTGCCACGGGGGCGACCTGTGCCACCACCGCCGCGACTGATGCGACCGATGCGACCAGGGCCAATGCAATCGGCGCCGCGCCCCGTGGTGCAACCAGTGCAACACGTGCCACAGATGCCACAGATGCGACAGATGGCAGGACCGGCAGGACAGGTGCCTCAAACAATGCAGGTGCCCCGGGTGCGACAAGTGGCAGTGACACCTGTGGTGCTTGTCCCCGTGTCACCCTGTGCCACCTGGACCTGTTTCTTTTCGCTGCAGCATGGACTGGTCTGCCTCCCAGCTGTCGCATGATGCCATTTTTGCCACGCATACCTCCTACAATCATACGATAGACTTTCACAGTGGCATACAGCTTCACACCAATCTGCACAAATCTTCACAAATCTTCATCGTGCTTCATAGATGTTCATAGATTTTCAATCATTTTCCATCCATTTTCATCCAATTCATTTTTCGCTTCCAGTGCAATTTCCATCCAATTCTCTCCACGTCTTCCGTGGCCATCCGTGGCCCACCCCACTGGGTCCGGGATGAAAGCGGCGAGTGAGGAACGGATGAAGCTTCTGGGAACCCTGCTGTTGGGTGATGCGGCAACGGCTCAGGTGAGACAAACCAACCACCATAACAAAACAGGAGCCAAATGGAGCCAAGTATGTTCCAGAATACTCAGAATACTCAGAAGACCTGTTGTATCCTGTCGTATTCTGTCGTATTCTGTGTTGAATATTGTGACGTGTTGTGACGTGTTGTGACGTGTGACATGTTTGCATGGCATTCGAAGAGCCTTCGCATGGCCATAGCAGGGCTGTGAGTATTGTGAGTTGGTCTGGGCTAGGCTTTGGTACAAGATGCCAACGCCAACTTGAAGCTGAGCTGCAGACCTCAGATGTCACACTGTGCCACTTGAAACGCAGATCAGGAAGCGTCCAATAGCCCCAGTATAGATATTGATAGTTAATAGTTGATGAATGTTGATGAATGTTGATGAATGTTGATGATAGTTGATGATAGTTGATAAGAGTGCAATTCGTATCAAACAATTAGTGACTGAATGTGACTGGTGGTGCCTCAAGGCCATCGTACTTCATTTGAAGATGTCAAGAAAGCGGCGACAGCCTCAATATGGATCCCAAGTGAAGTGGCAAGACATGGTGTGACATGGTACGGCATGGTACGGCTGTGTCAAAGCTGGATAGACTTGGGCTATGACCCACGGCTGTGTCGATCCAAGGCCTTGAAAGCTGTGCTGCAGCTGGTGCCCATGACTGATGCCAAGGCTCCTTTTCGGGATCGGCCATTGCGACGATCTAAACCAAGAGCTGGGACAAGTTGATGTGTTTCTTTGTTTGTTTGATTTGGGTGTTTAGTTTAGATTTGGTTAAATAAATGTGGTTTAATATGGTTTAATCATACCATGCTGATCTATGTTGAATATGCTCCAGGATCAACAGGCTCGGGACTCTCTGGAAAAGTACCTCCTCTCCAAGGCCAGATCGAAACGACGTTTCGAATCAACGTCTCGAATGTTTCGAATCGAATTATGAAACAATCCTCTTTCACCTTTGAAATGAAAGGGATTCAACACCTCTCGGCTCCAGATTTTGCATAAAATGTTGGACTGTTGGATGTTCGTTTCGTGCTGTATGGCACGATAGCTGATAAACTGTTGCAGCTCAAAGTCACGAGTCATTGAAGTTGCAGTTTGTATATTGACTATATATTGGTTGTTGATATTTGTTGATATTTGTTGATTGATGTATATTGCAGTTGCTGAAGTAATAGTTTTCTGATTCTCGTTCCGGTTCTCGTACGTTGTTCAGGACCGTGCAGGTGTGGTACGAGTTGGCATGCGAGATTTGTATCTCATTCCACCATCCAAGGCAGAGGCCTTGGCGGTGCGCCACAGGATTTCTTGCAGCAGACTTGTTTAGTTTGGATTAGGTTTGTGGCTGATTTCATTACTTGTTTTATCTTGTTTTTATGTTGTTTTTACATGTCTATTTAATTCTATTCATCATGTTTTTCTTGATTTTGCTTGTGCCGTCGTTTGCGAGAAACTCTTGAGGCTTCTGGCAATTCAAGCCTTGAACTTGTGAGGATTCGCCTTTCATGTGACAGGATTGCGGCCTCAAAGTGGTGCCCCAAGCAAAGTGTGTGGCACTTGGAAAGCGGATGAAAGCAGAATAGAGTTCGATAGCACTCTCAGCCACTTCGGAGTAACGAGGGCTCATTGGCTTGTGGAAGATGTATTCCCTGGCCATATGTATAATATATATTTATTGATTCCACATGTTTCGCAATACTTGATGTTGCATGTCTTGACATTAGATCAATACCTAAGGTATTGTTGCAGCTGTTGCAGAGAAAAGTCGCTCGTGTTCAGCTCAGATTAACTCAGACTAACGTGGATCTGCAGTGTGATGAGTCGCACTTCACACAGGAAAAAGTCCAAGAGCACCGCAGAGGTTCGGCATGGAGAAACGGAGAGCAACGGGAGAGCAACGGGAGAGCAACGGGAGAGCAACGGATTTCCATTTATTCCCGCACTGGTGATGCCATTTGAGGTTTGATCCTTATCCACTTTGGAGAATCACTGCTTTGATGACCTGTTTTGATTTCTTTCGAGCTTGCTGATTTGTTTGCTTCATGTGGCCCAAGGCAGTATTTCGGCCTTGGGGGTTGAGAAAGGCTATGAAAGGCTATAGCAGTAGTATTGATAGGAACTGACAGGCTTTCATGATGCCTGAATTGACATCTCTACCTTGAAAGATACTGAAACATCAACACAGATTTGGAACATCCATGACACAAAAGTGACTGCACTCCGTTGAAGTAATTTCACATGTACCCATCAAAGATCGATCATATTGGCCGGGCACTCAGAAGTTGAGTCAGTAGGCGCAGGATGGTGCAGGATGGCTTGTGGATACCAATCTAAAGTTGCAATGAGGCAATCAAAAGTAAAACAGGGACCACAGGATTCAAATGTCCCCTTCAAAATCAAAACCAGAATGTTTCTTGATGCATGTTTCAAGAAGACATATAATGTATATATATATAATGTATATATATATAATTTCTATAATATCTTAATAATATATATATTTACTATATAATATATATATATAATTATATATATATATCCATTATATGTTCAATAAGCTTTTCTTAAAAATGAGGGGAAAAATGGGTTGCCCTGAGGCCATGCATCTCAGCAGGCGCTGCCTTGTGAGCTCCCTCCAAGGGCAGTTTGCAGACTTCGTCCCACGCGCGATGTTCACTTTCGACCACCATCCGCATTGGTTTGTAGGCCTGGAATATTGTAGAATAGCAGCCGTGACATGCCGTGACAGCACAACAGCTTGTAATTCATGTCGGATTTCATGTCGGAATTCATGTTCTCAGCCCTGTGTTTGCGAGTCTGTGCGGCTTCAGGTCATATGTCCAAAGGAAAGGTGAAAATCGAGCAAAAAATGAAGGACCGGAGAACCAACATGTTCTACTTGATTTCAATGTCGGTGAAGCAGTGAAGCTCAAAAGAACATAAATATAAAATAAATTAATAAATACATAAATATATAAATAAATAAATAAATAAATATATAATATACATATAAAGAACACGTTCCAAAAGATCCATGTTGAAATTCCAGTATCGTGGCAGCTCAGGATGTCGACGTCATTCTGGAAGTCAGAGATGCTCGAGCCCCCTTCACCTCAGCGCAGTTCGTGAGAGACCCAGAGTTTCTTTGGTTTCTTTGGACACTGAGTTGAACACTAGGTGGAAAATGGTGGAAAATGGTGGAAAATGGTGGAAAATGGTGGAAAATGGTGGAAAATGGTGGAAAATGGTGGAAAGTCAACCCAATTCTCGTAGTTTCTTACGTTTCTTCAAATCTTAAAGATTACGATCTACATCATCTATAATTACATCATCACAACAGTCCTTTCTCTTTAGATGGAACATGATGGAACCATGACTCGAAAATGCCCCAAGCCTGAGACTGGAGGAGTTGACAGGCAATCTGTCAGACAATGTTCAGCGATTGGTCGTCCTCAACAAGGTGCTGCCAACACTTTGTCAGTCGGTCTTTGGTGCCCGAGAATCCCAATATATTTCACCGCCTTCGGCGTGTTCCGCCGGCCACCATGGAAAGAGCTATCCTGCAACAGCGCTTACACAGGCGCCACAAGAACATGTTTTTTTTGTTTTTTGTGTAAAACAGCGCTTTGTGTGTAAAACACGGTTTTGATGCACTAACATGTTTTTTTGTTCAAACCACCGTTTAAGTTCTAAACCAAAGCATGTGCGTAAACCAGGGTTTGGGAACCATATATAGAAAGGTTTTGCGTGTAAAAGGTGTTCGGCACAAAAGCCAGTGGATCAAGTATTGGATATAAGAAACGACAGAGCAAACCGATGACAAACACAAGAAAAAAGGCGGAAACTACCATGGAAATGACAGCAAAATGTTCGAAACCAAGCCGGTGTTGAACAAGGCGTGGGCAGAGTTGAGCCCAGCACAACGTAACGAAAGATGAAGACAAAACGAGGATGAAGAGCTACGCCAGGAGGAGGAGGGGGGGAGAGGGAGGAGGAGGGTGGGAAAGTTTCAAGTTAGACGAGGCAACAATCCGCACCAAAGCCGGGAAGTCTAGGCAAAGACAAAGACAAAACAGACAGTACAACTACGAACAAGCAAGAGACAGCAAGATCCACAAGACACGCCGCAGGCGGATTTCATGTTTCATCATGTTTCATCATGTTTCATGAGATTTCATCTATTTTCATCTTCGATTTTCTCATGTTGTTTTTGTACATCGACAAGGATGTAACATGATACAGATTGTCTGGTAAGATTATGGAACCGCCAGGCTGATTTGGTGACGCCAACCGTTGGGCTGGCCATGAGGACACTGGCAAGACTTGTCGTTACAACTGCAACACCTTCTGCTTCAAAGGAATCTGTCATTTCAAGCATGTTTGAGAACAATTCTTTTATTATCTTTTATAATATGTTGTATGTTTCTTTTTTTGCCTTGATGTGATGTCTGAATTCTGTTTGAGGAATGTAATCGAGGAAGCTGGGCAACCATGCTTGTTGCTTGGCTCGGAAACTGTGCTAAGCTGTGCTAAGCTGTGCTACCTTGAGCTGCTTTATGCTGCTTTGTCGCAAATTTCTTGATTCCCCGAGGCTGACAATAGCGTCAGAAAACAGGCACTGTGCACATATTGAAATTCATCTTGACAGAAACAGTTCACCATGGCTCACCATTTTTGCCAGGAACTTGGTGAAGATCAGGGACTTCGCATTGGAACATGTGCGGGCAAAGTATCCGCGGACTCTGGGTGCCTTGGAGTGTTATTCAATGTGATTCAACTTGCAAACACTATGAATCAATGAAGCAACCAGTCGAACCAATGCAGTCATGACACAGAACTGAGTCTTTGATAAATTGGGCAGATTTGGGTAGATATCCTGTGAAGGTCTGCAGAATTTATATGATTTTATTGTGTGAAGATAAATTGTATGATGTCCAAGGCGTGATGTTGATGGTGGTTGGTCTGCCCAATGTTGGCAAGTCGACGATCATCAACGGCCTGAAACAGATCGGTTTTGGCACGGCCAGACATACTGGGAAACGCATTTGGGCCAGACATTTGGACCCTGGTGATTCAAGTTTTGACTTTGCAAAGCAAACGCTCAGGAATTTCTGATGTTTACTCAGTGTGCGTCACATTGCATCTATGTCCGTGTGTGGCAAGGTAAGCTCATGCAGGGAGTCAAATGGACTGTGCCGAAGTTCAACTGTGTACCTGGACTGACACGCGACGTGTCCTTTTTTCAGCCTTTGGCTTGGAGATATGCACCCGTTAGTCATATCATCGTCGCAGCATGCCCATATCTCCAATCGATGCGTCTTCGATGCTGAATGGAGCTCAACCTAGGCTGTCAAGTCATCCGAGGCTGTACTGTCTATATCTCAGCATATCTCAGCGTCGGAGACAGTTGTGTCTCCCATAGTTGCAAGAAACGCCTTTATGCATGCACTAACACATTTGCATACATTTGCATACATTTGCATACATTTGCATACATTTGCATGTGCTCATATCAGTACAGAATGTTAGGCTATGACACACCTGGAGTTTCGCTTCTGAAGAGGCAATGACTTGTGCATCACTGCATATCACTGCATCATTGTTGTTTAAGATGTTTAAGGGCACCATGTTGCACCTTGCGCCCCCCCCTTTTCAGGCGGAACGACCCAGAGCGCAATGCAAAGTTGGGGGTGTTGAAATGCATGCCGGATCACATTGCTGGGGAGATCTACCTCGCAGATTATCTTCTGTATCGTTTGAACAGGCCGGGGCCCGTTGAATCGGTGAGAGATGGTGAGCCCCATATGCCGAATGGATCCAACTGGGCCAAGCGTGAATCGTCACGAATCCACGAATCCACAAGGGCAGTTTTCCGGGACAGGTAACCTCCATGGGAAGATTGGGAAGGGATAGGGGAATGTATTTGCCACAGAACGTCACAGAACAATCGTGAACAGTGGAGTGACTATGAACTTCAAAGAGTTGCTGATTGCTGTGGTCGCTGCAGGGATCGTGTCTTCGATTATGTCTCAGAGCACCACGGCTTAACCATGTCCACATTTGATCAGCTGTGATCAGCTGTGATCAGCTGTGATCAGCTGTGATCAGCTGTGATCAGCTGTGATCAGCATGGTCCCAGAATTCAGCAGAAAGTGAGCACACTTTCCTTTTCGGGGCAAAGTAGGTTTTCTTTGATTTTTAAGAGTTGGGGGCTCCACTTTGGGGGCGTTACTTTGTTTGCACACATTCTAGTCATAGCTCTTATATGCTCTTATCCTCCTCCTTATTCTGCATCCTCATCCTCATAATCTTGCTCATCATCCTAATCATCGTGATCGTCATCATCGTCGTCATCGTCACCACTATGGTTATCATTGCTCTTCACTGTGCCTGAGTCTCATCCACATAAGCTTCACACATGCCATCAATGTTGCACCTGCGCTCAAGTTGATCCATGTTGATCCTACCCTCCAAAGGAAACGTTTGCTCAGCCCTTATTTTCATCATATCGTAGCTACACGGTGAATCATGGTGAATCATGGTGAATCATGGTGAATCATGGTGAATCATGGTGAATCATGGTGAATCACATGCCTTTCGTTCCCGGATTGGGCTTGGAATCGGACTTCAAAGGCATCACAGCGGTCACAGTGCATCCACCATGTTGCTTTGAGGTTAGAGCTGCCAGCTCCCACGGATGACATCCGCTATTTGTGTGCCCACATCGCTGACATTTTGGTACGGAAGGACATGCAGGCCCAGACACAGAGTCAGTGGACACTTAAAGTCAAAAAGCAAGACGTCAAGTTTGCACTGCAAGAAATAGAACATCATCTGAGAAAGTCCCCCAGGGTTTGCGTTTTTCATGGTTTTCTCAGGTGTTCTCAGTGTTCTCATTTCTTTAAATTTTTTTTTCCATCTTTTTTCAAGTTTCTTTCTCTTCTGATTTGGAGATGCCAGGTCAACCCAAGAGACCAAAGACACGTTGGAAGTGGTGCAGTGTTCTTCCTCGATCTCTGGCGGAAGGGGAAGCTCGGAAAGGCACCGAACATTTGAAAGTGCAGGGATCTGGAGGGATCTGGAGGAAATTGGAGGGAACATATGGCTGTGAGTCAAAATATAAAGCCCCGATCCATACCCTGAACCCACAGGACGATCCATACCCCCGATCCATACCAAAACGCAGGTGATCCAGACCGTTCCATACGTCTGGATCACCGCGGGCCGATCCATACCCGAATTTTGACGCAACCCTATATAGGTTCTGCATGGGTTCTGCCATGTTCTGCCACATGTGTGACACTTGTTATTGACACATATTGATATTGACATTTATTGACACATAATCATATTGCCATATTGCCTGAGCATGATGCGTAAATGTGATGCAGATGATGCAGATGATGCAGGTCTGTTTGGATTACATCCCAAATCCAGAAGAGGCGACCGGGACATCGCGTGGAGCCACTGGGAGCTGGGAGGGCACTGTCAGTTGGGCATCGGTTGTGAGGTGCAGCGCTTACGACAGATGCGAGCTGAAACGGAACCACCGGGACCTTGGGGTCCACCAGCCTATCCGGAGGCCGATCTGAGATGATCTGAGAGCTGTGAAGGATTGGATTCCGAACAAAACCTGCCTTGTCTATTGAGATCTATTGAGTTTATATTGGTTATCCAAGTTTTTCCACCATCATGCAATTGCCTTGTATATGGCTTTTGTATTTTATAAATATTCTTTTTCACCGAAATTTCTGACTTCTGTCAAATTCTATCAGACTGCTTGTCTCATGGTGTCGCCATGCGTCGCCATGTGTCGCCATTGTGCCCACTTTGGAAGTCGAGGTGCCTGAAGGTCTGGAGCTTTCACGAAGAGGTCCGTACCTACCTCCAGGTGGCTTCTCTCCGTTTTGTCGGGTTCCATGTCGGGTTTCATAGGGATTTCACGTGGCGATATGGGCACAGGCAATAGGTGGCCAAGAAAACTGGCAGTGGCACCACTGGCCCAGGCTTTCAGCCTCGCAGCCGGACACCTTCGGCTGGGCAATCCCAGCTGCCAATGTAGACCTGCATAGACCTGGTATGTCAAAATTGAAGGCGTATCACAGAATCGCAAAATGAATCACAGAAGATCACTGCATATGTTACAGCATCGGTCACATTCACGAGTTCTGCAGGCTTGGAAGTACAGGAGTATTCCGGAATGTAGATCTTCAGTGCCCCACGTATTCCACAATATTCCATACTACGTTTGTATGGATGATTTGCCGACCGGTGTTTCAAGTTAGCCGTTGATTCTTGAGATCCAGAACGTCCAACATGTCCTAAGGATGCAAATGTGGCCAGTGCAACCATCGCCTTGAAAAGAGCTGCAGCATGCTGCAGCGAGAGTTGACCTATGGCCGTGTCATCTTCACACTGACATCATGTATTCAATATTATTCAATTGTATTCATGTTCACAGCAAGAGTTTGTAGGTAAAGAAGAAGGCTGCTGAGGTTGGGAACCCTATGGAACCCTGGTCACTCGCAAGTTGCAACCCGCGATTAGCCTATGCCTATACCTCGTGTAGCCTAGCGCTTGAGGTTGTGGTGGCCGATGATACAGAGGATTCTGAGGCAACCAAGTCTGACGTAGCAGATCTTATTCTGATTGAACACAAGTTGGCCACAGGAACCGAAGAACGACAAGAAGGTTGACAACAACCGGGACAAAGAAGATGACCAGAAAAACGAAAACAAGGACAGACATTTACCCCACTTGGTTGCCGAGCACTCATGTACTGCCCTGCGATGAGAAGCCATGAGTCACGAGATGTCGCAAGTATTCTTGGCACAGAGGACGGCGAAGCAGCTGTCGCAGAAGAAAAGAACGAGGACGTTTCTCAATTGATGGCTTCTGTGTTCAAGTACATGAATCGTTTCAGTCTTTGGAGCCATTGGAGTCTTGAAGCCAATGTTTTCTTGATTGGCTTTGCTGAAGTTGAATCTTAAGTTTTATGTTGCAGGAGACGAAGAAGGAAGAAACCACTGAGGACAGCAATTTTGAAATTGAACCATCTATTTTTTGCATGTTTGGAGCTTTTTGTTTGTGAATTACCAAGTAAGCAAGCGACAAGTACTGGCGAGTAGATTCTATGTTCTTGCATGTTCGTGCAAAGACCCTAAAATTCCTACTGGGGAACAGGACTTGAAAGCAGCCGCCCCAGATGAAAAGAAGGAGGGAGAAACGTTTTGTCGAGCACGCATAAACCGCGTGCATGACATCTAGATCCGAATCATCATGTATCGACGCAATCAACCTAGAAAGACTTGCCATGCGACAACTTGAAGTCGTTGTGGGATCTGTGGCTGCATCCACAACTTGAAAGTGCAAGAGCTGCAAGAGCAAGTCGGTACTCTAGGCATCTCTAGGAGCTTCAACGCGTTCTGTTATTGTTGCTGAACAAACTGAGCCTCGTAGGAGGCGAAGCCGGAAGCAAAGCAGGATAAGCAGGACAATGACAGCCAGGTGGATTTCCAGATCCAATTTTGTTCCAGCCCAGTCACATGTCATTACTGCAGAGAACTTAACGTGTGGAAGGCTTCCAAGGTGCCACATTCGCCCTTTGAAAGTCTCAAAGCCCAAGTGTGAGACTCAGATTCAGCCATGTGACAAGCATGACATGCAAACCAAAACTGCGCTGGCTCTTGCCACTGGACCCACTGCCCTCATTTCGTTTTTTCCATTCGCCCCATCTCTTGATGTTTGAATGTCACTTAGATAACTTAGACTTAGCATATCTTGGCTTGTTCCTGGTGAAATTTGGTGAAGTAAGCAGATTCCAGGCCTGTCTTGTGAAGGAAGCAGATTCTCGTGTTACTTGGATTCTAATGTGAGGCAAAGCCGCAGGCTAAGCCGCGCTTCTCTCGTCTCGATGTGGAGAATGCTGCGTGCACCTGAGCCTGGGTATCAATATGATTCAATATGTATCAAATTTCATGGCGCAAGGGGCATCGTTCAAACTGGCACAGCATGTCACGAGGGGTCACAAGATCTGAGAGTTGCTTCTGTGCCACTCTACGCCCCCGATTTCTTCAGGCCTTTGAAATTGCGCGATCACGTGATGACAGACAGGCTCCTATGTGGGTTCTGCATGGGTAGATTCGGGTAGATTGGAATCTATGGAATCTATGGAATCGGACCCAACACGCCCAACAGTCCAAGAATTTGGAGCACCAACTGGAAGTGCCTTCGTCAACAAACCTGGCGAGCAGTTGCACTAAAACGACACGTGTGACAAAGTGGAAATAAGATATGCAACTAGCGTAAACAAACGATAACAAATTCATTGGGTAGTTCATAAGAGCAACAAAGAAGTCTTCTTTTGAAGCTTTTCACATGCAACAAGAGTGGTATCAAAGTTCTCTTTTCTCCATTCTTATCATTCTTGGTCCATTCCGTTGAAACAAATATTCAAAGAGCAAAGAAAAACACTTGGCAAGGTGCGCCCTGAGTTGCGACCTCAGTTTCCTGCCTGATCTGCTGAAATCTACCTGACATGAAATCTATTGAGTTCTACTGAGATCTATTGACACGTTGTTCGCATTGACAACTGGAACGACTCAATTTCATTCAATTTCCGTTGGTCAAGGATGGTCAAAGTTTCTTGGATCTTGGACGCCACATCGCATGATCGTTACATGAGGCCTTCAACGAACCGGGTTCCTCGAGGTCCTCCACCACCTGGATGTCCTGGCCCTGGCCCGTCCAGAACTTGGTGAGCCATACAGAGCATGCGACGCATGCGTGACATGTGTGACATGCATCTCACAATGTGCATGTGATGTGCAGAGGACGACATAAACGTAGCATAACGTAGCATGACGTAGCATGACGTAGCATGACGTAGCATGACGTAGCATGTGTGAAATCTGAGTGGCTTCATGTCATGACTGCATGTCTTTTCCCTGTCATGCAGTGCTGTGGTTGAATCTTTCGTTCCACCCTTGACGGTGGCTCAAGCCAAAGCGGTGAAAAGTGCACGTCCGTTGCACTGCATTTTGTCCGTGCCAGTTTCAAACTGGCAGCGGAGCTGCTGAGTTTCGATTCGGTGGCAACAGCTACCTTTGGGTTTTCCCCTGAGCGCCAGGGTGCTAGTGATGGCTGGCATCTTGGATGGTTTGCGATACAAGCCAGATGATCAGTTTGCCAATGGAGCTGAGGACTTCAATGCGGAAGGCAAGTTTGGAGTTCCCCGCTTCGGAGGCGAACCCGCAGCCCTACAAGAGTACTGCTTCAGAGTGAGAGCACGTGCGAAGCGTGAGTCTTTGATGGAGAAGTCTGAGGTGGCGAAGCTTGGTCCCCTTGGTCTTCGCCTGATTGAAGGCCTCAGAGGACAAGCTCTACGACTAGCACAACAAGTTGATCAGCAGGCTTTGGCAGGTACGGAAGGACATGAGATCCTCTTGACCCTGTTTGAGAAGAGCCTGAAGCCCCGAAAGACACAGGAAGCACGTGAGCTCTATGCTGCTGGCAGTAAGGATGGAGGACTGCTCAGTCGCCAACATGGTGAACCAATGTCATCATACATCATGAGGAGACGTGCATGGTGGCATCACTTGCAGCAGCTGGATGGCTCAATGCAAGTATCAGAAGGTATCCTTGCTGAACAACTCCTGGTCAATGCCAACATATCAGAAGATCAGCGGTTGATGGTGAGGACCACAGTTGGGTCCAACATGACTGTGGAGAAGGTGTGTGATGAGTTGCTCAATCATCACCCAAGGATTCACGAGAAGGAGAAGCATGGCTATAGCAAGGGTAAGAACTTTGGCAGCCGTGGACATCACCGTCCATGGAAACAGTCGTCTTTCAAAGGCAACAGATCCTTCTTTGGTGATGGCGATTGGGATGATGATGAAACTCACTCCTTTGCCAACTTCACTGAAGAGTCCTATGACCCTGAGAATGACCATTTCGAAGGGTACGTTGCTGAGTATGACGAAGCCACATCGTATGACATGGTCCTTGCAGAGCACATGGCTATGTACTTAGATGAAGGCCTCAACATGGAAGATGAAGAATCATGCAACATGGCAGCAGAAGCAATGCAGTTGGAGTATGAAGCAATGTTTGTCAGGAACCAGGCGAAGGGCAAGGGACTTCAAGGTTTTGCTGCTCCTCGCCATTTTGAGGTTTCAGGCCAACTTTCCATGCAGGAGAAGAAAGCCCGTTTGCAGCAGTTGAAGAATCGCACGGAGTGCAGGAAGTGCGGTCAACGTGGTCACTGGAGCGGTGACCCTCAGTGCCCGAAATCTTCCAAAGGCAGTTCAAAAGGCAAATCGTCAGGTTCCTCCTCTACCTCCAAGAGTTTTGGCAAGAAGGCTGGAAAAGGTCAAAGCGGAGAGAAGACTAGGGTTGTCTACTTTGCCATGCATGGGTCTCATGATGGTGAAGCTCCTGAATGCAACATGGCCGTACATCGTGAGTCTGAGCGTGGTGATGAGTCAAGCCACAACCCAACTACTCCTCCAAGAATGACCTCTAGCACAAGTATGACCTCTGTTCCGCCTTTGTCATCATTTTCCAGAATGCCCGGACCCAATCAGAGCTCTTCGTCCATGCCGAGCTCTTCGTCCCGGCCAGAAACGAGCTTGCCAAGTATGCCATGGAATCCAGCAATGAATCAACCTCCGACAGGTCTTCAAGAGTTCTATGACATGGGATGGAAGGCTGATGATGTGCTCGAGCATCTCTTGGCTACGCAGCCGAATGTCCTTGGACTACCTGATGCTTCGACTGGGCCGACATTGACTCCTTCCCAGGCAGCCAGCTTCACTCCTCAGAGTTGGATGGCCAATCCCTTAGTCAGTCAGGCTTTGGGAACCCTTGTTGAAATGGACTCCGAGATGGCCATCCAAGATCCACCGGAATCTGATCCGCCTCCACCAGAACCTGAAGAACCACCTGGTGCTGATCCTGCTTGCCAGCATCTTAGAATCACCAGAAGAGGCTCCAATTTCTACTACACGTTCGAAACATGTGTGGATTGCAAGAGGGTTTTGAAGCGAGAAAGGAGAACGCACAATGCTCCTCCGAAAGCAAACCCAGTAGCAGCACCTCCACCTACTGGACCACCCTGCCAACATCAACGAGTGCACTGGCGAGGTTCCAATGGATATCACTGGAGGATGACTTGTGCGGACTGTGGCCACGTCACTTCAGGTCGCTGGCAAGATGATCAGAAAGGCTCCAAGGGATCAGGGAAGTCAAGCGTTTGTGGTTCCAGTTCTGTTGAGATGGCATTTGATCGCCGTGACCTTCATGAGTTGGTTCGTTCCATGACTATGGTTGCAGCTATCAAGATGGATGAGAAGGGTGGCAGATTGCAGCTCCATGAGCTACATGACATCATGGAAGCAGTGGCCAACAACATGACTGGAGCTCCGACCGCTCCACTAAGGTCACCTGAGTTCCACAGTCCAATGGCCTCTTCTCCAGCCATGACAACTCCCCAAGGTGAATCCAGAAACTCCCAGGATCCATCTTCCTTGACATCTGCGGCGATTGAAGATGACAGGATCGTGGACTTTGGCAAGTACAAGGGTAAGACCTTCCTTCGTGCCTTTCAGGACGATTCCTATGTCAACTGGGCTTTGAGAGAAGTCAATGAAGGCTCCTGCCGCGGCCTCAAGAATCTGGCTCGCTACTTCCAGAACAAGAAGATCAGCCCTAGAGCCATGATGGCTTGTGAGGAGACTCAGCAAGTTGACGAGCCCAATGACGATGTCAACCGCAATGAGAAATGGATGATTGCAATCCTTGACAGTGGATGCAATCGCACTTGCCATGGTGCAAATTGGATGAAGCTCTACCTCCAAGCTGTTGACGGAAAGGAAGCTGACTTTCCTATTGTCTCTGAAGGCAGTTCCATCAAGGGCATCAATGGCCAAGTTGAATCTTTGGGTTCGAGAAGGTTGCAAGTGGGTTTTTCCTTGAAGGATGATGCTGGCATCGCTGTGGGAACCATTGACAGTGTTGAGCTCAAGAACAGCGATGCTCCCTTGCTTCTCTCAATCCAAGACCAACGAAAATTGGAACTTCAAATGGAATTTTCGCCTGATGCACCTGACAAGGTCTACAGCAAGAAGCTTGGTGGTTATCTGGAAGTCGTCCAGATGAATGGCTTGGTTGGTTTGCATTTGTTGCCTGCTCATCTTGCGCTCCTTGGATTTACTGGAGAGCCTGATGAGACGCCTTCTTCCAATCCAATTTCAACGCCTGAAGTGTCAATGGCTCCACCACCTGGTCTTGAGCATGAAACCCCCAATGAGACTTTTCTCCAGCTTGATCAAGAAGTGACCGAGGTGATGACAAGGGGCCAGAAGAAAGCGTTGAAGGAGCAAGTTGAAGAAGTCAAGGCGAACGACATGAGCCTTTGGTCAGTTTTGAAAGGCCGATCTCCCACTCGAGTTCTGCCAAAGGGCTGCAAAGTTTTCCTCATGGAGATCTTCGCTGGAGCTGCAATCCTTTCCTCAATGGCAATGAGCCTTGGACTTGAAGTTGCCAATCCAGTGGACTTGACTATGGATGGCAGCGATTTGCTCAATAGTGCAGTTCGCACTTCCATTGAGAAGGAGATTGCCGAGAAGGATCCTTACGTCCTGACCTTCAGCCCTGTATGTGGACCTTGGGGTCCATGGTCTCACTTGAACATGAGCAAAAGCAGTGAGACCAAAGAGAAGATCGAGGGAGCTCGAAGCTTGTGGTATCCAACTTTGAAGTGGATTGCCAAGGTGGTGAAGGAGCGTTTGAGTCGCGGCCGAAAAGTTTTGGTTGAAAACCCTTGGCCTAGTGAGCTGTGGGAAACACAGCCCTTTCGAAGGCTCTTGGACTTGGAGCTCTTCGATGCTGAGACCCGAGAACGCCTGGACTTAGTTCGAGGGGATCAGTGCCGGTTTGGACTTCATGACCGGAGAAATGGACTTTTGCACAAGAAACCAACTGGGTTTTTGACGGCCAGCGCTCCTGTGAAGAGAAATCTCTCACTACTTTGTCAAGGAGATCATCCTCACCAACCTTTAGAAGGTGGTCAGCGTACTAAGCACTCTCAAGTTTGGCCACCTGCTCTTTGTGAAGCAATGCTCTATGGCTTCCTTGAAGAATTGGAAGATCGATCTACCAGTGCGGCCTTTTTCACGGAGAACCTGGCTGAGTCAACTTTGGAGTCAGGTCTTGATCTTGGAGCTATGGACTTTATTCAAGATGAACAAGATCAAGCTCT